AATATCGATCTAGCTTCATTGTATTAGTAAATTACTAATTTACCCTTAATATCAAATAGTTTACATCATTTCTACTTGTACTACCAGTAGAGAGTATTGGAGGATCGCTTCTGGAGTTAAGGCTCTCATATGCCAAAAATACCTCCATTTCCAGATTTCTTACCCTCTCACTGGTGAGCCTCGGTACAAAAAGCAGGAGTGCATATTTGGCAGTATTGACTAACACAGTGCAAGATAATGTAAGCTTATAAGGTGCACATGGATCTCAAAAACCACAACTATCAAATCAATTTCTTTTCCCCTCACGCTGCAGGCTGCAGCACAAATGTTACCACAATCTCGTGATCTTAATTAGAATGGGATGCATTAGGAGAAGATATAGGGGTTTTTCTCAACGCAGAAGCTTTGGCTTTCTGCTACGAGGATCCAAGTGACTAAGTGAGCATAATGCATGGTTGATCAAACTCACCTGATGATAGATCAACAAACCGAATGCGGCGGTGTGTATAGGATATCTGTCCGTTGTGCTGAACAAGCTACAGAGAAATCAGGAAATGTATGCAACATTTGCATGGGATGAACATCATTTTAAAATCAGCAAAAATCTCTACACCCAACATTTTAACCCCAGCAGCCTCCTCATATGATTTGGAGAAACTAACAGGACTGATGAATCCTGGGAGATGCAGATAATTTTTGTGATCCAGTAATATTTGCATGGATGCATTTGGGAGGAAATTAGGGGATCAGACAGCCCCATGATCATTCTGCAGGTTAGATGGATCCAACTACCAATCTACCATGCATGCTGGGTATGTTCATACTTGCAATTCCTTGCATTTGCCATGGATTATCAGCAATGTGAATAAATTGTCCAGCAGATATTGTTGTACACTAATCCTAGCTAGTTGAACAAAAATGTTGGAATAGTTGTATGATCAATGCTACAGCGAAAGTAAGTTTTACAAAATTTAAAAATGTATGATAATTGGTTAAAAAAATAGTGAAAGTGATTGATATGATAACAAGTTTGTACTATCATATACTCCCTCCTTTCCAAAATATAAGAATTTCTTGGTTGTTTAGCAAGTACTATGGTTAGGCCAAAAGATTACTCTTTAGTTACTTTAATTGTTATTTTTTGAATTTTGAATGGATTAGATTCCCTTTCAAAGCATTTGGTTGGCTCTGGATTCATCCATTGAAGTTATTTGAATAGTGGGAATCAGTGTAGGGATCTCCTTACATCGTGGTACAAAATTTAAATCCTAGAAATCCTTACATTTTGAAACAGAGAAAGTATATATTAGCTAGAAATCTTTCATCAATATGGTCAGTAATAATGCCTTCGGTTTCATAAGGCATATACAGTGCTCCAATTAGATGATATACGTACGGAGTGCGCTGTTATACTAGTGAGCTTTCATCAACGGCTTTAGTGATTACATTGTCAATTTCATCGATGCATGCTTGGGTTGGTTGGAAATCTGTCAATAGAAACTTTGCACAATGCTCCAAGACTCCAACCAACATATATATCATATAAAGGAGTAGATCGCTAGCAAACTCCTATGGTCTAAACCACTATGTATTCCTTCCCATGCATCATTAATAGTGCAACCAGAAGCTAGAGGTGGTAGCACACCATTGCATCAGCTTAAAGCACATGAGGATAGAAGTTAACGTGAATGTCGTAGTGTAGGAATGAGATGCATCGAGAAGGATAAGAGGAGACTCAATTTAACACCACGGCCTAATGAGTATTGATGGATTAGTCTCCTCAGATGCAGTGATTGCATAGATAGCTTGAGACTGCATATTAACCAATGCATTTTAACTATACAACTCTTTCCGGTTGATCCTTTTGTATAAAGTCAGAATGAAAGCGCAAGGGTTCAATGATCATCACCATTTAGTTCAGTGTAATTCAAAAGAAGACACACAACCACAGAAACACACAAGGGATGCACCTAATTTTCATAAGTTTTGAACAGAGCTGTAAGTTTTAAATAATTTTCTATTTGCATGAAAACTGCAAACTAATATTATAGCTCTTTTATATCAAAGGAACAGGTGCCATAAGGGTTTCCACTTATATGAATATAATGTAGAAGGTGACCACATGACTCTTTCTTTACAAAAAATATGATAGCTTATGCCTAGCAATTAGGGAACGTATCATATGCACACAAGTCTTTTCATGTATACACTATGCATAGTAACTAGAAAATATCAACAAAAATTCTATAAAAATTATACATGTACTTTTAATAGTATTAAATTTATATCTTAAGTCCCATCTTCAAATTTATTATAACAGATTTATACTCTCAAAACTCAGAATTCTTATCTTTTTTTATGACTAAAATATAATGAATTTGAGATTAAGACTTCACATAAGTGTATTATTATTGGAAGTACTTGTACAAATTTTTCTAGATTTTTTTGGTAAAATTTGTTAGTTGGTGTGCATAGTATGTACATGAAAAGACTTTGTGCACATGATATGTTCCCTAGCATTTATATATGTATTGAAAGGGAAGTAGTTACAGGGGGGAAAAAGTTTTTCATCAGTTATAAATAACCAAACACTTCGCTTTGATTTTTACCACAACCACTTGTTTTCTTCCTTTTTCTACACCTGCAAGCACCAAAGTTGAAGCAGATACCATGCAGAAATTGAACTGTTGAACCATTACAAAAGAATGGGAGAGGAATCAAGACATAAGGAGTAGATAATGTGGATACAGCTTCAACTGAGCTTCATTGGGGTTCAATCTTGTTTTGTTTTGTGAGAATGGGATGCATGGAGGAAAAGAAGACAAACCAGCACCGCATTACCTGGAGGATCTTAGGAGAAATTGGTACGGCATTTCAAACAGGAACATCAAGCTCGAACGACAAGTGGTAAGTGAGATATACAATTCTCAGCATGGCTGGAGGGACAAGTGCAATGTGCTGGAGGGATCGATGAGAGGAGAACAGAATTGAAGTTGTCAACTGAAATCATCACCAAGTTTGGTTGCTGGCTGGTTCTTGTTTTATTTTCGTTGCTAGCAAAATGCATGTACGTTGTTACAGAATTTAGAAAATCACATCGCCACATTGCAAAAAAAGAAATCTATTTTCAGTTTAGAGCCTAATTTAGAATTAAATTATATGTTTTTTTTTCATCTTTTTATATCTCAGCTATAAAAGATTTGAAATGGACTCAACTAAATCATTAATGCATAACTTCCTCCCTTAAAAAGTATTTGGTTTCGAGAGGGATGGACATGTGAGTTCCACGTGTTATAGTTTGAGGGAGTTGGTGGTGGCAGACCGACCAACTTGAAACTCAAACAAGATCATCATTAGTTTTATGTGTAGCTGCTCTGAGCCTCCGTTCTCCATGTCTCTCTTTTTGCTTTTGCCTAGTTGCTTACTTGCTTCCTATTTACAAAATGGCTTTCACCACTCTTTCTCAAACTAAAAGAAAGAAATCAACTAGGAACGGTTGTACTAAGGTTGAACTGTGACATCCTGGCTCAATTAGGATGAGGCATTTGTGGCCCATGAGAGCTATGTGCTCATGTTTAATACCACCTCACTAGTTTAGCAAGAATGGAACCAACTTATAACGACTTGTTCCTCCAAACATATCACTCCCGGATAATCCCTTTTACATGAAGCGATGGTGAAAGTGTAAATGGGTAGTATGTATAAGTAGGCCCACCCGTCAGATGGGCTGGCTACGTTGTTCTAGAGGGTGGACTGTTACAAACTGAGCTCAACCACCAATTATACCGTTCCCAATGTGGGACCACCAAAGAGGTAGCTAGCAAAGTACACTACCTAGGCAGCAAGAGATCACCAGCGGCACAAGAACAGGCCTCTAGCTCATGGCTTGAATGTGTGAGAATCATAGATTATTTATTTCTAATCTATAACATGATGGCTTTAGTCTAAAATGATCACCCTAATTCTAATGCGGAATTGGATAATGGACGGTGTTTTGTTGACAGACATGGAGATGTTGTTGATGCTATGAATAGTCGATAGTTTTAAGTTGGTTATTTAATTTGGATATAGACTGACAAATGATTATATTCTTCTAATTGATTAAATTCTACTTTTGGATGGTTGATAGGATTATTTACAAGTTATTGGAAGAACTTGCAGCATGTGGGGTATATGGTTATACTACGTGACATATATTCATGAGTGGAGTTCAGAGTTTTGGCTTGTCTCCAGGCATACATATACCTAGGCACAAGTCCAGCGCAAAAGCATACAAGGAAGATCATAACAACATGTTTCCCTTCTCTGGAAAATTTTGTTGGCAACAGATGCCTTCTCCTTCTTTCAGCTTCTGCTTCTTTAGTCAGTTTGGAGGAAGCAGCAAATAGTTGATGATATGAGAATTCCTTCTACATCGGCTTAGGTGTAGCAACACGACTTTATTATTATTATTATTATTATTATTATTATTTTACAAAAATATAAAATAGATCAGTCCCTCACCACAAGTAGAGCAAGTTGGTGAGTTATTGTAAAGTTCTACAAAGCTAATTTAAAAGTTATTGCATTAACTTATTTCATATTACAAACAAGAGTGTCAATGGAACAATGAAAACCATATGACATACTATAATTTTGTTTTTATTATTGAAATTATATAATTCAAAGAGAATAAATCCACATAGCCGTAAAGTTCTACATGTGGTGCATTACCAAAATATATATAGCTTACAAAACATGACAAGCTTAGTTTGAAAAATTGCAATCCTTATCACATTGACACATAAAGTGAGTGATGAGTCATAATATTATTTTTCTTGCTACCCATCATGTATATATGATAGCCACAAAGTTACTTTGATGATGATATCAAAGAACATTTTTAGGTGCACCTAACAGAATATCCAAATAATATGACTCACTTAGATCATAATAGAGCATCAAGTAAAACTAACACTCTAAAGCAACCGATGGGAAAGCATCTATAAATAGACAAGCACAATGAAAATCCTCATCATCCTTCACCACAATTCAAATATTATAGTTGAAGCATAGTAGTAGAATCCAACAACAATGAAGATCATTTTCGTATTTGCTCTCCTTGCTATTGTTGCATGCAATGCCTCTGCGCGGTTTGATCCTCTTAGTCAAAGTTATAGGCAATATCAACTACAGTCGCATCTCCTACTACAGCAACAAGTGCTCAGCCCATGCAGTGAGTTCGTAAGGCAACAGTATAGCATAGTGGCAACCCCCTTCTGGCAACCAGCTACGTTTCAATTGATAAACAACCAAGTCATGCAGCAGCAGTGTTGCCAACAGCTCAGGCTGGTAGCACAACAATCTCACTACCAGGCCATTAGTATTGTTCAAGCGATTGTGCAACAGCTACAACTGCAGCAATTTAGTGGTGTCTACTTTGATCAGACTCAAGCTCAAGCCCAAACTCTGTTGACCTTCAACTTGCCATCCATATGTGGTATCTACCCTAACTACTATAGTGCTCCCAGGAGCATTGCCACTGTTGGTGGTGTCTGGTACTGAATTGTAACAATATAATAGTTCGTATGTTAAAAATAAAGTCATACATCATCATGTGTGACTGTTGAAACTTAGGGTCATATAAATCTAAATAAAATCATCTTACCTATTTAAATAGCATTCCTCTATGAGGATAAATCCTATTACATTATCGTAGCTAATTACCATCACAGGGACTTTACAATTTTACTATATGCATGCATTTGATCCTAAGCTGCTTTGGCTATTAGATATAAATGAAGTGCATTAAGCAAGTTCAACCTTTCATTCCCAATAGGAACGAACTTGAAGCACAGATGTCAATTACTATACCCCTAACAATTGATACACTATAGCAGCGGTTGTAGCCGCAGCTGGAGGATTCGCTGTCGAGCAGACCATATACCTGAATTTAAACCATGTCAAATATCCGTAATGAATAACAAATAATTTTATATTGTGCATATCCAATGAATAATCAAACATTTGCCTTTCGACTGTAATGCTTGCATGGCCTGCTATTGTATTGCTCTGGAAACACATCTTTAACAGATGTTGTATTATCACATACATTACATTGGAGGAGAAGGATTTAAGTGATCATATATAGAACAGAGGATATGATGTTTTAGAAAAAAGAAGATTAATAATGTCAAGAATACTTTGTGAAACAGTGCATGATGCAGGCACATCACTTGATACATTAAAAGCGCTGTAAAAAATTTATGCTGGGGAACTAATGCACTACTACTAGCCTCACTAATATCATCAGTTCGCGGTATGTAACAAGCTAACATTCTACACTGCACCACCCCATCCATTCTTGCTTTTTTCTATAGAACACAAGAAGGAACATCAGTAACTGGATGCATGTGTGCACCGCCAGCTGCCACAGTGTTGGCCATTATCTCTTTCTTCAAGGCATTTCTTCCCATCAACTCCTGCTTGACACAAGCAGGACAAAAATGTAGCTTTGGTTAAGTCAAGGGGAGTCAGTCCAGCTATAGATGAACCAGCGCCCTTATTATTGTGATTACTGCCCTAGCTCACACACCGGAAATGGACTCAAATCTTAAAGGCATGTGAGCTTCTAACGAGCCCACATTCCATCTAGGTAACATGATATATTGTAAGGCTCTATTTTTTTCAGATTATTAAAATGGATTATTTGCTCCATGCTTTAAAATATATGTTTGCTCCATATTCTAAGTCAAGTATTTTATTTAGGGTAATTATTTTGATCCTAGAGGAGACATCCTAGGATTTCTCTAAACATCATGAAAATAGTTATAGTAAAGAAATTTCGTAATATTTATGTGGTGTACATATTCCACCCTCACAAATTAATTTTCAAGTTAAGCTCAGTAGCAAATCGACAAGTAAAAAAGGACAGGTCCAGCATATAAACGTTCATGTGCAATGTACATACGAATTTATTTATTTTGTTTCTCAATGTTCAGATCCAATTTAAACTTGGTTTTTTCGTTGAGTAGTAAATTGTCATTGTACTCTATATTGTCATTTTGTTAGGGAATCTTTCATTACTGTGTGCACTGCATCGAAGAGAAAAAAAGGGCGTGTAAATGCATATCCTCTATTAAAATCCGACTTCTATATATTTTGCCCCATTTTCTCTATAATTTCTAGTGGTTATTGATTGAGAACAGCTACAAATTACTTACTAAGCACCTTTCATGGGCACTATATAACTCATGCAATTCTTAAGGTTTACGAATGCGAATACAAATAGAAATTCGCTGTGCCGACCTGTTTTCAAAGATTAAAAAATTGAAACATCAATCAGAAACCATTCCAGAATGGGCCAAAATTTGGAAAACAAATTTTGAATTCCATGGAGAAAATTAACTGGCTGGCAATTGCACATTTGCACTGCTTTGCCCCTATAAACATCTTCGAGTAGCCATTTCATTATTCCCAGTAAAATATTAATACTCCTTAATCAAGAACTGCCATATAGGTCATTTCTCTTGGTACTTCAGTTCGCTCATTTATTTCTCATAATTTAAATTTCAAAGTAATAAGCGATAGATCAGGATCCATGATTTGAACATGCAACTTTAAAGTAATGCAGTAAGATATAGATCGGTGTCCATGACTTGAACATGCATGAACAGTAACCCCACTCGTGAGTTAAAAAGATAGATCCATGATTTAAACATACATTCGCAGATATTTGATCATTATATGTTGTAATTATATTCTCATAAAAAAAACTAAAAATGCTTCATAGCATTTGTATATTATGCCAATATTGAGATAATTTCGATATCTCATATGTTTTAGATTGGAACAGATCACGAAAGTTTTTCTTCGAAAAGTTATGGTCATTAGGACATGATGGATTTGAGGTAACAAAATAGATGAGATTTATTAAAACCCTTGAAATAGTCCAACAATCCAGCGCTAACATTTAGCACAGTGTAATTCAAAAGAAGACAACCACAGAAACACACAGGGGATGTTTTAAACTCCAATTTTTATATATTTGGCATTATTCAAATTGCAAACAAATATGATGACTCTCTTTCTCAAAGAAACATATGCCGTTAGGGTGATCCCAGCGCTTCACTTAGAATGGTTTTTCATAGCATTAAATGATATGCCACGTAGGAAAAAACATGATGTGCCATTTTATTAACTTAGGAAAGAGAAGAAAATTGGGTCTTCTCAAAATGATCATCATCTAACAAAATGTCTCTTTGTTTATTTGTGCAAAGAGTAAATGTGCATCGTGCAATGTCATGCATGCTGCCAACCAAGATTAATTTCTATTTAGTTGAACCTGTGCAACATTTAAAGTGTGAAGTAATTTTTGTTGGACTTGAAGCGACAAAGCACCTTGGTCGATTAGGCCATCCCCAACCCATGGTGTCCATGGGTGGTGTCTAGAGCAGTGAGAGATCAATAAATGCATATATGGACACTACCTCCCCATTGCATCGTTTATATACCAGTTTTCATAGGCAAAAAAAAATTAGTAGCTCTTTGCATGTAACATTAACAGAGGAGGGTCAGCTGTGGCAAGCAAGCAAGCAGACGCGGGAGGGGAGGCGCGCAGCAGGCATGGTGACGGGGTAGGGCGCAGCGGATCGAGATGCGAGGATTTTTTTTTGGGGGGGTGGGGTGGGGGGAGAGAAACGAGTCATCCAACCCAACGCGGATTTAGCTAGTTTCCAGTGCCTTGGAACAGCCGCCGAAACGGTGTCGCGCATGCGACCTGGTTTCTATGTTTTTGCTTCTTTCTCTTCTTTTATTCCGTTGCCACATCAACTTTTTGTCTAGTTGGCAGCCTAATTAATTCTATGGAAACCAGGTGACATGGAGGGTTGGGGACATGGTGGAAAAAACCGGAACGGGCCGACAGTTCAACCGGAAAAAACCAGAACCCGTTCAGTTCAAAAGAAAGACCGGACATGCATATGACCCGCTTTGAACCGGCAGAACCGGTCGGTTTTTCTATGAACCGGTCATTAAACCGTCCCCGGTTAGACCGAACAAGCCACAATAATCTTGAAATGGGCCTTGATGTGGCCCAATTGGTCTGCCTAGAGCGTTTTGGTTGGCAAAAATCAATCTCCTATTCTCGGCACGTGTGATATACAATGGTAAGTGAGATATACAATTCTCGGCACGGCTACATTACAAGGTGTCGCATTGTGTCAATGTTTGGTTAATTTGCTAGATTCACATAATACATGCCAGGAAGTTCAGAACAATGTGTTGCCTTTCACCGGAAAACTTTGTTGGAGCAAATGCCTTCTTCTTTTTTGCTTCTGCTTCTTGAGTCCATGTGGAGGAAGCAGTAGATAGCTGATGATATCAGGATTCCTTCTGTGTCTGTGTAGGTGTAGCAACACCACTATAATTTTTATTTAGCAACACAATATCAATTTGGTCTATAAAAGTATGAATTAAATCAATCCCCAACCACAATTAGAGTAAGTTGGTGAGTTATTGTAAAGCTCTGCAAAGTTAATTTAAAAGTTATTGCATTAACTTATTTCGTATCACAAACAAGTTTTCACAAGAGTATTAATGGAACAATGAAAACCATTGAACATACTATAATTTTTTTTCTTACTGAAATTATATAATTCAAAGAGCATAAACCCACACAGTCGTAAAGTTCCACGTGTAGTGCATTATCAAAATAATAGCTTACAAAACATAACAAACTTAGTTTCAAAAGTTGCAATCCTTATCACATTGACACATAAAGTGAGCGATGAGTCATGTCATTATTTTTTTGCTCACCATCATGTATATATGATGGGCATAAAAGTTACTTTGATGATGATATCAAAGAACATTTTTAGGTGCACCTAACAGAATATCCAAATAATATGACTCACTTAGATCCTAATATAGCATCAAGCAAAACTAACACTCTAAAGCAACCGATAGGGAAACATCTATAAATAGACAAGCATAATGAAAACCCTCCTCATCCTTCACACAATTCAAACATTATAGTTGAAGCATAGTAGTAGAATCCTACAAAAATGAAGATCATTTTCGTATTTGCTCTCCTTGCTATTGTTGCATGCAACGCTTCTGCACGGTTTGATGCTCTTAGTCAAAGTTATAGACAATATCAACTACAATCGCATCTCCTGCTACAGCAACAAGTGCTCAGCCCATGCAGTGAGTTCGTAAGGCAACAGCATAGCATAGTGGCAACCCCCTTCTGGCAACCAGCTACGTTTCAATTGATAAACAACCAAGTCATGCAGCAACAGTGTTGCCAACAGCTCAGGCTGGTAGCGCAACAATCTCACTACCAGGCCATTAGTAGCGTTCAGGCGATTGTGCAGCAACTACAGCTGCAGCAGGTCGGTGTTGTCTACTTTGATCAGACTCAAGCTCAAGCTCAAGCTTTGCTGGCCTTAAACTTGCCATCCATATGTGGTATCTATCCTAACTACTACATTGCTCCGAGGAGCATTCCCACCGTTGGTGGTGTCTGGTACTGAATTGTAATAGTATAATGGTTCAAATGTTAAAAATAAAGTCATGCATCATCATGCGTGACAGTTGAAACTTGATGTCATATAAATCTAAATAAAATCACCTATTTAAATAGCATTCATGTATGAGGTTGCATTATCATAGCTAATTACCATCACAAAGAACTTTACAATTACTATGTGCATGCATTTGATCCTAAGCTACTTTGGCTATTAGATACAAATGGAGTGTATTAAGCAAGTCCAACTTTTCATTCTAATAGGAACAAACTTGAAGCACATATGTCAATTACTATATCCCCAACAATTGATACACTATAGCAGTGGTTGCAATGGCAGCTGCAGGAATTGCTAGTGAACCCAACAGCCCATATAACTGAATTGAAGCCATGTCAGACATCCGTAATGAACAACAAATAATTCCAAATAGTGCATAACCAATAAATACTTAAAGATTTGTCTTTCAACACTAATGTTTGCATTTCATGCAATTGTATTGCTCTGGAAGCACCTTTTAACAGGTTGTATCATCACATGCATTACATTGGAGGATAAGGATATAAGAGATCATATATAGAATAGAGGATATGGTGTTTTAGAAAAAGAAGATGAAGAATATACATTGTGAAACAGTGCATGATATAGGCACATCACTTAATACATTAAAAGCACTGCCAGAAATCTATGTTGGTGAACAAATGCTCACTGGTTGTCTCACTTATATCACCATTCACCAAGTTCACCGTATGTAACAAGCACTTGGCCCCATGGTTCCCCTTACCGTTTTTGACGCGGTTACCACATGGTTACCGCAAAAAACCGTGTGGTAACCGTGAGACATACCGTGGTTTCAAAAACTAAAAAGGTTACCGCGTGTGATAGCCGCGCAGTTTTGTAAACCCTGCTTGGCCCTACACCACCCCAGCCATTAATTCTTGTCCTTCTCTGTACAACGCAACGAGGAAATACATCATGGGCATAGGGAATAATTAGCAAGTTTAGCAAAAATGAATGGCACAATTGTATAGCATGAGTGATGATGCAATGAGGAAACATAAGAACATCAGCCAGGTGTTTCTCCCCCTCAACTCCTGCTTGTCCCAAGCAAAACAAAAATGTAGCTTTGGTTCAGTCAAGGCGAGTCAGTCCAGCTAGAGATTAACCACCTTATTATTACTATTTTTTTATTATTACTACCCTAGCTTACCCAAAAAAATGAACATTTTTCATTTTTAATTTTAAAAATAAATCCATCCAAAACTTATTTTCAAGATTTGAACATTTGACCACGCCAACTAAACTGGCGTGTCAAAACAATACCGTCATGCCACTCCCGCTGGTCACACCGGCGGGGACCGACCTCACTGGTAGGGGTGGACAAAAAAGCTTGGGCTCGTGAGCTCGGCTCAAGCTTGGCTTGGGCTCGCATAGCTCGGCTCGGCTCGAAAGCCAAACGAGCCAAGCCCAAGCCTCCTTCCTACCTCGTTTCCGAAACGACCCAAGCCCGAGCTGGCTCACGAGCCACTCGTGAGCTCGCTTGGCTTGGTACAATAGGGTCATATGCAAAAAAAAATTACACCTTTTCTAACTATTTATTTGTTGAAAATTATAACTTTGATTGTCATATTATCTATTTATGTGTTGTGATGACATATTAAAGAAAAATATCGCTTTATTACACATTCTATGTGGTAAAATATTGCTCAATTTCTCCTAGTCTTGCTTGAGATTTACTTGATGCCAGGCTCGCTTGGCTCGGTACAATAGGGTCATATGCAAAAAAAATTACACCTTTTCTAACTATTTATTTGTTGAAAATTATAACTTTGATTGTCATATTATCTATTTATATGTTGTGATGACATATTAAAGAAAAATATCACTTTATTACACATTCTATGTGGTAAAATATTGCTCAATTTCTCTTAGTCCTGCTTGAGATTTACTTGATGCCAGGCTCGCGAGCTAGCTCGAGCTGGCTCGAGCCCATAAACGAGCCGAGCCGAGCTGCAGTTTTAGCTCGTTGTTTGTAGCGAGCCAAGCCAAGCCGAGGTTCCCTTGCACCAAGCTTTCATGATTCCACCCCTACTCACTGGTGTGGCAGCGTTATTTGGCCACGCGTGGCAGGATAAAACCGTCACGTCCGCTACAGGTGGTGTGCCAGTGTCATCTTGTCACACTAGATGAGCTAGTGTGCCTAAAAGGTTCAAATTTTAGAAATAATTTTGAAAGGGTTTGTTTTTAAAATTTAAAATTAAAAAGGTTCAAAAAATTAAAAAAAATCCCTAGCTTACACACCGGAAATGAACTAGAAACTTAAAGGCATGTGAGCTTCTAACGAGCACACGTTCCATTAGGTAATCTGGCATATGTGACATATAGTAAGGGCTCTATTTTTTTAATTATTTGCTGGATTATTAAAATAGATTATTTTCACCCATCCCATAGCTGGTGAAAACATTCCCCACGCTGTTCCGAATAACAATGCCGACGCTACCAATTTATTTTCACCCATCCCATAGCTGGTGCCTGCCACACACCTGCCACTTGGGTTCTTTCCCCGCACCCATTCACATCACTTTGTCTTCCCTCCGACACAATTTTTCCTTTCTCATTTTCCAGCGTTGCACTGCCAGACGGGCACAAGGAATTCCATAGATTCAGAAGGAAAGATGCAGAGCCCTTTACCGTCGCTTGCCCAGAACCGAAGACACAGTCATTACGCAGGTACCAAGCTCGCCATAGGACAAGGAGAAACTGCGCCCGCTCGTTTTCGCTCAGCTTATCGAGTCCCCCAAGAAGCCACCCTGGGCCTAGCTTCGACAGGGAACGCTTATCCGGTAACCTCCAGCTCGCCCGCAGAGTTTCACGGAGGGCCCTTGGCCGGGTACATGAAATCACCGCGTGAAACTCGTCTTCCTCCCCCTGGCCGCAGATAGTACAGGTCGCAACTGCTTGCAGCTTTCGTTTACACCTGTTCTTCTGGGTAGCCAGATAATTTCGGGCTAGACGCCAGGCGAAAATACGGACCTTTGGTGGCACAGGTGTACTCCAAATTCTTCGCCAGATGGAGCGATCACCGTCCGTTTCTCTACTACTGCCTTCTCCATCCGGATGGAACTTGTTCAGCCACGCTAAACGATAAGCAGACCTCACCGAGAAAATCCCTGATTTTTCGTAGTGCCAAGCTAGGAAATCCTCATCCTGGTATGGCGACAAATTGATTTTCAGGATCTCTTCCACATCAAGTGGGTGACAGACGTGCTTGATCAGATCAACGTCCCAGCTCTTTTCCCCTTGTTTCAGCAGCTGCGAGACCCAGCGAAGACGGCAGCGTCCGCTCCTTCCCATAAGCATGAGAGAGGAGGCTCGGGGAATCCATTTATCCCGCCAAATCCTGACCTTGGTCCCATCCCCAATTCGCCATATAAGTCCTGTCTTCAGCAACTGCAACCCATGTTCAATCCCTTTCCATGTCGGAGACGCTTCAGCCGGGAAGACCGCATCTACTAGTTCACAATTAGGATAATACTTAGCTTTTAATTAGGATATATATATGTATATATATATATGTATATATTGTAATATTCCAGTATTCCACCCCCCCCCCCCCCCCCAACCCCAAAACAACAAATCAGTTTTCAAGTTAAGCTCACTAGCAAATCGACAAAAAAAAAAAGGGCAGTCCAGCATATATATATAAACGTTCATGCACAATGTACATGTACATACGAATTTATTAGTTCTTTTTCTCAATGTTCAGATAAGTTTTGTTGAGTGATAAATAATCACTGTACACTATATTGTTATTTTTTTAAGGAAATCTTTCATCATTGTTTGTACTGCATCGAAGAGAAAAATGGGTGTGTAAATGCACATTCTCTCGCGAGAGATTAAAATCCATCTTCTATTTTGCCTTTTTTTTCTCTATAATTTCTAGTGGATATCGATTGAGAACAGCTAGAAATTACTTATAAGCATATTTTTCATGGATTCTATTTAAGATACAAAACTACTACACATGGGTACATGCTAACCAAGGTTTACAAATGCAAAAGCGAATAGAAATTTGCTGTGCCGAGCTGTTTTTCAAAAAGATTATATTCTTTTCTCCCAAAGATGAAGATGAAGATTAATTTTTTTCGTAAAACGAGGTGATATTAGCATATGATTGATTGAGTTTTAATTATAACAAACTTGAAAATAGATTAATATAATATTTTAGAACAACTTTCATATAGAAAGTTTCCACACGAAACGTACAGTTTAGCAGTTTGAAAAGCTTGCTACAAAAATCTTAATCTTCATCCAACAAGAAGAACGGAACCTAAACGATAGATCTGAATCCATGACTTGAACATGCATGAACAGTACGGTGAGTTAAAGAGATACATTTCGATCCATGATTTAAACATACATACATAACTGGGTGCAGATATTTGGTCATTATTTATTGTATTTGTAATTATATACGTACTCATAAAAATTATTAAGAACGCAGTAAATTCATAAAATTAAGCAGTTTTCATGGCGAATCTAATAACATTATTTTCACATATAACATTCGGATATTTTGCCTATCATGAGATAGTTCGTATATCTAAATTAATCCCCAACGATTTTCTAGCAGTGATTCAGATATCACAGGCTAATCTCGTAATACATAAAGATGATTATGTTCAAAACATGATTTAGGTTAAAAAAATTCCAAGCGAATCCGTAAACTATATTCATGTTTCAGATAGCCGGCCTTTGGTTGATTATGAAAAACGATTATATTATTCACATTTTAAATAGTTTTGTGCTATAGACATGTATATGAAAGACAAAACGAGTTAAAGAAAACTTTTTTAGAAAAAAGAAACTGTGTGACCACGATCTTGATACAGGAAAAGTTTGAATTAGTATGTTCAATTCTGTTCATGTACATTTGCTATATATATTATTGCCTTCATTTGCAATTATACTGAATACTCGCTCGAGGAATAAATCGGTACATGTACGCATGCCTCTCAATAATTTGAATGTGAATTTGAGAGTACGTAGTTCATCTCATCATAATCATCCACACCCAAATAAATTACTACATTCCGATTACTCATAAATAATAGGTAAAACTAATTTCAATTTGACTTGATTTCATCAATGGATCTTCAAATCAAATCAAATTTCAAACCCATCCATCAGCAGTTACCAATCCTGCCATCCCCGGCATCGGTGAAGAACCTCTTCCAGAACCAATGGCGGCGCCACACCGTGTCGACCATCTCGTCGATGGGCACCCCCTTCGTCTCCGGCAGCAGCCAGAAGACGAAGGCGGCCATGATAACGATCCAGATAGCGAAGAAGAAGAAGATGAAGGCCTTCATACTGCACATCATGGAGAGGAAGGCCTGCGCGATGAGGAAGGTGAAGAGCATGTTGGAGCTCACGGCGAAGGAGAACCCCGTCGTCCTCGTCGCCAGGGGGAATGTCTCCGACGGGATTAGCCACCCCAGGGGCCCCCACGACCACGCGAAGCTCGAGACGTAGACGCAGATGAGCACCACGATCGCCACCGCCCACTTCTCGCCCGGATTGCCGTTCGCCTTCACGTGTTCCCACATGATCGCCCCCACCGCTGTCTGCCATGGATCTTTCATGTTAGTTTGTAGAACTAAAGGAACGCGAATGCTAAGAAATGACCTAATATCAGATAATTAGAAGGGGTGAGGCTTCGAATACAGGTCGTCCCCACCATCTTGCGGAGCTAGCCGGAAAACCTCTTGCCGTTTTTTGGGTTTCTCGAACTGGGAGAGGACTTATGTAAAAGTTTATATTAAAAATTAATATATGTTTCAAAATTTAAATGTGTAGTGTATTTAAAAGGAAGTTATAGTAAAATTATATAATAAAAAGATATATTTAAGTGCATCATATATTTAAAAAGAAAAGGTAACATAAACATGTACTCCCTCCGTTTTTTTAATAGATGACGCCGTTGACTTTTTCTCACATGTTTGACCATTCGTCTTATTTAAAAAATTTACGTAATTATAATTTATTTTGTTTTGGGTTGTTTTATCACTCACAGTACTTTAAGTGTGATTTATATTTTATACATTTGCATAAAATTTTTGAATAAGACGAATGGTCAAACATGTAAGAAAAAATTAATGGCGTCATCTATTAAAAAACGGAGGTAGTAGAAAAAACTATATTTTAAAAGCCAACTGTGTTATATATTTAGAAATAGAGATATATATACAAATATGTAATATGTTTAAAGGCTAAATTGCTTCGTGTGTAATATATGTAATATATTACCTGTGCGATGAGCATTTGGCCGCAGGCCTGGAGGAGGAGCCTGCGGCGGCCGATCTTGTCGACGGCGACGATGGAGACGAGCGTGGAGACGACGTTGACGCCGCCGGTGACGACGGCGGAGAGCAGCGACCCGTTGCTCTTGAACCCCATGGTCTGGAATAGCACGGGCGCGTAGAACATGATGGCGTTGATCCCCGTGAACTGCTGGAACACCTGCATCGCCACCGCGATCACCAGCGGCGGCCTCGACTCCCGCCGCCGCAGCCTCCGGTACGCCGACTCCTCCGCGCTCAGCGCCGCCGCCGCCTCGCATGCGCGCGCGATCTCGTCCAGCTCGTCGCCGACGTCGCGCGTGCCGCGGATCCTCTCCAGCGTGGCGCGCCCGGCGTCGCGCCGCCCGCGCTCCACGAGGCTCGTCGGCGTCTCGGTGATCACCAGCGAGCCCAGGAACAGCACCGCCGCGGGCACTCCGGCGCCGCCGAGGGAGTACCTCCACCCGGTGCTCGGGTGGGCGCTCGAGGTGAAGTAGTTGACGACGTTGGCGATGAGGATGCCGATGGTGACGTCGAGCTGGAAGAGGATGTTGAGCGCGCCGCGGATGTGCGCCGGCGCGATCTCCGACAGGAACAGCGGCGCCGCCTGGTTGCCGAACCCGACGCCGACGCCGAGGCAGATCCTCCCCACGATCAGCATCGCCAGGTTCGCCGCGCCGGCGCACAGCGCCGTCCCGCCGAGGAAGAACACCGACGCGAGCTGCATCGTGCGCCGCCGCCCCAGCCGCGTGCACAGCCTCGACGCCGCGAAGCTGGCGGCCAGCGCGGCGAGGTACAGCGACGAGGTGAACAGCTGCAGCCGCTGGTCGTCGAACTTGCAGTAGTTGTTCTCCCTCGCGCGGTGCTTCCGCGCGTACACCGACGGGAAGAACTTGATCAGGAAGCCGTCCATGGCGGTCACGCCGCCGGAGATGCCGACGTCGTAGCCGAACATGAGCCCGCTCGTCGCCGCGATGATGCCGCACAGCCACACGTACCACGTGATCTTCCCCTTGAACTCCCGCCGCTCGCCGCCGCCGGCGACCTTGGCCTCGACGGCGAAACCACCCGCCATTGATGACGTCAACGACGACGACGAGATCAATCAAATGGAGATGATGAGGAAGAAGATGACCAAGAGGTGGTCGAGTATATATAGAGGATTTTATTAATGGAGATAAGATGTGGATAAATTGGAGTGATCTCATGCATTCGCATGCAGATAAAATAAATTAAAATTGAATTGAATTTGAATTAAACTTGGTCAACGAACAGATTAACTGAAGGGGTTTAATTAAGCAGATCGGATTAGTTACTAGCTAGAACTAATCAGGATAGAGTTTTCCGGGGGGTTTTTTTGGGGGTTTTTTTCACACGGTGACGGTGACATGCATGCAGTTTAGGGGAGTTGGATTAGTCCTTTTTTAAGGAATTTATAGTTGGATTAATGGTTAGGAGTAATTAGGATTAATCGGATCAGCCGATCTCAACAGTGACCAGTTCTCCTGCGACAAGCCCGTTCGTTCTCTTGACACGTGGCACCAATTCATTCGCTCTCAATCTATTAATGGTAATTTAATCTCCAACCCAATCCAAATGCAAAAATTGAAAGAAAAAAAAACGCGTTTCTCACAAGATGGACTGTTCCTGTGATGACTATTTTTGTCTCTACAGGCCGTCCTAAACTCGTAAATATATTATCTCTACCGTGTATTTTATTATTTTTTTGAAAAAAAAAAGTATGCACAAAAATGGATTTTGGCCATTAATTTATCTCTATTGATTTTTGAAAAAACCTTTACATGATTTTTATCTGTCGCTCTGTTCTGCTTATGCCAAAGATGGACGTTGTGCAAAATTGAATTGATCAAGAGCAGCTTGTGCACAGTAATTCTCTGTTGTAGTATGCCTTTTGCCTCGAAACTGATTAAAACAGAACCCAAAATAAAGAGCATGAGTTAACTAAAGAAAGTTAACCCGTAATCTTGATGCTATAGCATGCTTCAAAATTATACCCTCGAATGCTAAAAAAATAGTACTCCCTCCGTTTCATAATGTAAGTCATTCTAGCATTTCCCATATTTATTTTGATACCAATAAATCTAGACATATATATCTATCTAGATTCATTAGCATAAATATAAATGTGGGAAATGCTAGAATGACTTACATTGTGAAACTGAGAAAGTACAGGTAATAATCATCACTTATATTTGTCGAAGAACAATATGAAAAGAAAGCTATCAAGCAGGTGCCTTATTGCAAAGTTACAATACACACTGGCGAATGAACTGCAAACTTAACTTATGTGTCACTAACAACTTAGAAACGAGCAAACAAAAACCAGTCAGTTCATCGTCTTAGACTAAAACAGGCACCCTGCAGACAAGTGCCTTGATCAAACGGTTTTTACACGGCAAACCAACAGACGAAAATTCACCAGTTAAACACATTTCAGCATCTCTTCGTACGCATAAGAACTCTTCAAGCTTCTGAGCTTCATCAGGTGTTTCTTTGACCGCCATAATGTTTCTTTCAAACTCCTCGCCTTATCTCTGCGAATTCACACATAATATGAGCTTAGGGAAACATTGCAGAAGATATTGGCCATGTTTTAATTGGCTGGCGAAAATCGTATGCTACCTGAAATGTGGTTCTGGGAGCTCATTCTGAGATAGGCTTGCGAACCAAAAAGAAGTACATCGGCGTGAAGATTTCCTTCCTGTAGTTAATATATTTGCATTAGAACTTTGCATGAAGTATTAAACAGGAGAGGAAATGGAAAAACAGACAGCTGAACTGGAATTCCAGAATTCGTGACAATTATGTTGCTTTTCTGATTCCTGGTGCTGAAATATGAATCAGAGACAGACTTACTTGCCACCTTCGACGAGACCTTCAGCTGCCTTCTCTAAAAAGTTAGATACCCTTTCACTTCCTTGTGGGGCAAGGCCGACGTATTCCAATGCCTTCACCTAAAAAATAACAGAAGAGGATCTCAATTCCATTTCCATGCGAATCAAGAGTGAATATATACCATGATTAAATCAGGCTGTTATGGCCAGTTACAGTGGACAAAGCAGCCTGATCTTTGAATATTCAGTGTAACAAAGTTTTGATCGAATTTACCATACAAGCAATTTAGCACATCTGCTGAGCAGATTATGTCAAGTCTACCCGAAATTTGATACTTCTAGAAAAAAAATAGTATAGTACTTTTAAACTTTGCTAGCTATTAGTATAATTGTTTGTTTTATTTATTGTAAATGTCCAAAGAATGACTTTTCTAGCTAGCCCTGGTAGAACTTCTATAGGTTTTCATGTTACATAAACTATTACATGAACCATTGTTCTCAAAACCACTTTTAAAGGCAGCAGGGAACCTAAAACTTCATTAATTATTTTCCACCACAAGATTGGTGTGCCCCCGAATGTTCATTGGTATTAGGCCACATGTCACTGAAACAATGGAGTGGCACTAAAATGCACCCTCTTTGGGATGCCAACTCCTCAATTTTAAGCTTTTTTCTGTTCAGAGGGAGGAATTTGATAAGAAAGAATGTCTATAGTACGCTTTACTCCAAGGGACAAATCAAACTTGATTTCACTGTGCATCTTGAACAATCAACTCAGAACATAAGGTGTAGCAACAATAAAGAATGACTACAGATGTATCTGTTGGCCTTACCATTGTGCGAGTAATTGCACGCCCCACAGTAGTCAGACGGAAGCTACTCAAGGAAAACCGGCTTGGATCCAAGGGCAGGTACCAAGGAACCGGGGAATCTTCAGCAAGGTCTTTATCCCAAATAACCTTCACAGAAAAAAAAATTATGCCCATGGGAAAGGAATAACAAATAACAGAAGTGTTCATGAAACTGTGCTGCTTTGAAAGAAAACTGCTGTAACTGGCCAGAGTTTCTAAACTAACAATAGAGGTGGGCTACTCTTCCAGCCATGGGTTTTCCTCAGGTAAACCCAAACACACAATCAAACAAAAGAGAGGTAAAGCACAGCGTCTACATTACCTCAAACCCAGCATCTTTTGCAGCTTGAAGACATTGTTGAGTGCTTCGGATATCTGGCAGGCCATTGCCAAGCTCGATTTCATCCTTGATCCTCTTGTGTGTTGCATTGTTCGGTTCATAGTGATCAGTAATACACCACTCATACACAGCAAAACACTGGCCAGGCTTCAATACACGATAGATCTCCTTATAGCAGCCAACCTTTGACATGAAAAAACCAATTGACTTTGTGTCGCAAGGAGGGATTAAAGTTGATGATGAGTTTTAATATACAAGCAATAATTTGCAATCATACCGGATCAGGTGCGTGGCATGTTGCCTCAATGGCATAGACAGCATCAAAAGTGTTATCAGAAAACGGCATCTTCATGAAGTCTGCCTGTATAGAGACCAATATGTAGAATGTAACTGTTTGTCCTTCAGCTTATATATATTGTCAAATAAGTCTTCTCTGTACAGCTAAGCAAGTGCAGAGAGTCTACGCAAGGTAATTTGCAATATGTGATGGTTGCTGGAAAGGGATAAATAACATTTGCACAGAGATGCAGCTGCAAATAGATGATTGACTACTAAAAGATGGGGGAAAGAGGCAAAGAGCCAAAAAGAATGTCTATTTTAGCTAACTATACCTTCACAAAGTCGCAAGTTCCACTAACTCCTGCTACCCGATTAAGCTCCTGGATATTAAAACAAAAATCTTATGTCAACACAGGAGTAATGTGATGAACAGCAAACGCTGAAAACTGTTTACTAATCTGAAGTTCTTAACCATATGCAGAAGTAGAGTAAATCAAATTAAGTAAGGGAACATCAATTAACCTTTCCCCTAGTTATCTGGTACTCATTGTTGTTCAATCCAGTGACTGAAGCCAAGCTGCAGGAAACAGCAGATCATGGCCACATTAGTCATCTCTAGTTCATAATCCATAGTGAGGGGAAAAAAAGAGAAGTTTCCACACTTTTGAGGACAGTATTTTAGCAGAAAATGGATCATCAACACTGATATTTGGGAAAAAGAAATGCCCTAAGTAAACAATGAGCTCAATGCCATCTTCACCCAAAAAAATAACATATAATGAGGAAGTACAGGGTTGATACTTAACGACGTTGTCCTGGCACCATTATCCAAGATCAATTTACCACACGTTTAATTTTTAAATGTCAAATATTTATTATGCATATTAAAATTTCTGGCCCAAACACATTACAAGCAAGTGGACAGAAGGCCCATGAATCAAACCTAAATTTGGCAATTTCTCTTAGTGGTCCGCCTATTCCACAACCGACGTCCAAAACCTACAGTAGGGAAGTGAAGTTAACACTTTCATTCTAATGTTGTAGTGTAGAACCAGCAGGAAATCTTTATGATAGGTTTAAATAGGAAAATTAACCTTCATTCCTGGTTTCACTCCAAGCTGAAGGGCAAGAAAGTGCTCATGTCGCTTAATGCTTTCACGTAGGGATTCTCCATTCCATCTAAAACATTCAGGAACATGACAAGTTTCTGTCACTAGATGTCAGGTAATATGCAAAACTTCAACTACGTTCTCGTATTTCATTACAATGAGCACAGATGATCTCTCTAAAACCCTCACCTGTGAGCAAAGTGGAAGGATTCACCCCAACCATACTCATAGAAGCTGGTGGCAAGATCATAGTATTTATTAACCTGATAAGGCATTAATGCATTAGTTGCTAATATAAAAACTGAAAAACCCAAAATTATCTCCAATTAGCATGGGGTAAATGGGTGATGCAGCAAACAAAAAATTGTCACAAACTCTAAATTTGAAGGTTTCCTTCTTTCAAACAGAATAAAGAGGGGTTCAATTAGAAATATGTGACTAAAATACAATTGACATATAGCATAAACAGCAGAACCTAGAATATGTGTACTGTCTTGCTTCAACACTCAACATGACAATTTAAAAAGCACAATATTTGAGTTGTCTTAGATATCTCTTTGAATCAGTCGTGCTTAGTTAAATTTATAATCTAGTCAAGAAGAACTGAAGATTAACAGCTTTTTATCGTGCAAAAGTTGAAGCAAATTACAGACAAACAGTTGAAGCAAATTATGCAGATATAATCCTTTTAACTGAGCATCTAGAAAATGACTTGAGTAGGAAAGCAACAAATTTACAAAATAAGATATTCACAAAAATGTAATAATTCTGTCTTCTGAGAGACTAAGATGATTTACCATGTCTGTGTAGTTGGACTTTCTTGCTTCTTCTTTTCCTCCATAGTATCCATGGTATTTCTCATACCTTGCAAAACCAATTTATTTAAAATAAATAACAGTAAAATACAGGCCAAGTTCTGAGCACAAAAATCCTTTTTCTGAGTGTCAATAAAATTCTTGCTAAGCAGTTGATATGTTTTTTATACAGGGTAAATATTGAATGTATTGACAAATTCTTAATAGAATGTGCTAAAACTGGCATAGATAGAGATAGTTTAAAAGAGGATAAGCTTGTTTTAATAATTCTGTAATGGTGCCACAGTATGTACTCCTTTCCTTGATTAACCATAGAGCATAGTTTGACCTTGCACGAGAAATCAAGGATTAAAGAGGTGACAAAGGTGATGAAACATTAGAGAAGATGACGTGGGTGCACTCTCATTATTGATTCAGAAAGATGAGCGAGCATACTTTGTGGCAGTAACAAATAAAAGCAAATGAGAAGGAGTAAAAGACATGGGAATGGTAGAAAAAGCTCATATCTTATATTTATTGCTGGGTCTTTGGAATATTAATGGGAGGGGAGTACAATACGTATGGACAAGTTGGCATGGCTTGAAGTAGCCTATATAGTGATGGCCTGATGGGCGACCACAAAGCATCACATTCAATACACATGATAAAAACCTAGTACTATTCTAATAAGATGAAATAGGTGCAATGCATCAGGAGTTTTCAGATGTCCAGAACTGCTACCACCAAAAAAGAAGAAGAAAATTTCTGGGTGCAGAACGAAAAGTCGAGCAAACAACAGTGAGAAATTACGAAATCAGTGAATCTGTGCTTTCCTTGTTTAATCTCAGTCATACAAACTGAATTCTGAACCCTGAACTCTGAAGAGATGCATTCAAGTACAGCACAGCAGACATGCAAGTACAGTACATCACCAGAATCAAACCTGCATATCTAAATCTAAATCTAAATGCCAACAAAAATAAAAGAGAGAGAGAAAATAATAATCAACCAACGCAGAGAAACAAAGAGCAGAAGATGCTTTACTCATCGACAGCCGACTTGACCTCATCCTTGGTGATCTTCCCCCCGAGTCCAGATGCAAGATCCATGGCCCCAGACCTCGACATCGCGGCGTCGATCACCGGAGCTCCACCTGCAACCAACAGCAGCAAAGTTCCTCACGGAAATCAGGAGCATCCACCTCCTCACTTTCCTCCCAAATCCGAACAAACCACACACATATATATTCCAAAAAAAATTCAAACGGTAGTGCGAAAGGGATGGATATGATTTATTTTCTTCACCCTTTTTTGCCCGTCCCTTTCCCCCCAACCTCTCCTCCTCATCTTTTCACCCCCAAACAAAGAACAAAAATACTAGCCAATCACCCAGGCCGCAAATGCGGTGTACCAATCAGCCGCCGATCAGGCCATGGATGGAGGAGGCCGCACGGCGAGCAGGGCCACGATCCCGTGACGGTAGGGCGCTCCCCCCCCCCCCCTCCTCTCTCTCCCGGGGATGGGTCTGGAACTCGAGATCGCGACAGAGCCGAGCCGAGACGATGCGTGCGATAGGAGCAATGCATGTGCGCCGGCGAGCGGACGCGGGAGGAGGAGGACGAGGAGGGGAGGTGCTTACCGGACGGTGAGGGCGGCGGCGGCGGCGGTCGCCGGAGACGAGAACTCCGGCCGGCGAGGAGGGAGGTGGGGAGGATGGGGTGGCTTCTCTCCCTCGCGTGGGTTTTATCGTGGGGTTGCATCTCGGCTCAATATTGATTATTTTTTTCTATTTTTATTATATAAAATAATACTCCATCTGTCCCCCATATATATATATATATATATATATATATATATATATATATATATGGGGGACAGATGGAGTATTATTTTATATATATATATATATATATATAAATAAATAAAAGAACCTGATACTGGATGGGATAATCCCTAGTTAAGTTTTTTAAGATAATGATAAAACTTTCAGTATCTAAACTAACTAGACTTGCACGCTAAAATACCTGGATTTGAACGAATTATTATGGAGTGGCTACTTAAGCCCGGTTTCACGTATTGATAGGAGTATGAAGTTTGTGTGTTAAATTATATTTGTTCTAAAATTTTGGATTTCATCTAAATAATAGGAAAATAATGATTTATTTAAATGTTATTAATATAATCGTGAATCCAGATCTAACGATTTATGAAGTTACGAATATCAGTTTCAAAAAATTTTGGATCTAGAGCTACGTGCCTATGTCGAAGAGGGCCCTAATTTATGGTTTCTAATTTTATTTTCTTCTATTATATGAAAGATATATGGCACATCCTACTTCAAATATGTCTTTTAACACATGTTAAAAAAGACAAAGGCTAATAAAATGCTCTAACATCACTGAAAACTTTTAAAAGCGTGCTTTTATCGTAGAGGAGATGGTAATAAATAAAGTTTTTGAGAAAATAAGTCCAAGCATGCAAATTTGTGCATCATCATTCTTCTTCAACTACGAAATACTTCCTCTATCTCATAATAAGTTTATTTTTAGCTCATTTTATTTGTTTTAAAATAAATTTAATTTTAGAGTAACCATTGCATCGGAGTTTGTGAAAGTAGCGAACAATTGTACTCCATTTGAAGTAGATAAAATCGGAAATGGTTACATTGAGATTTGATAAATTAAGGGTTTGTTAGGCATAGCTCTAGCTCTATCTCTCCTGAAATTATAGTCCAATCAAACGGTTTCAGTTTCACCCAAAATGCGAGCGGAGTTGGTTGAAATACTTTTACAAAATGAACTAGAGATGTGAAACTGGGTTTAGGCAGCTCCACCTCCACAACTCCATTTCAAACCCTAACTCCTAAAGTTAAATTTAAGATATTGAGCCCTATCAAATGAGAAGTTAAATTTATAAGTTAGAGGCCTACCAAATAGAATGCGTGTTTGGTAGGGCTCCAACTCTCAAATTTAACTCTATGAGTTGGGGTTTAGAGTGGAGCTGTCTAAACCTAGCTCCACCTTTTTAGTTCATTTATAGAGCATTTTTGTCAGCTTCACTTCTTTTTGAATAAAGCTAAAATTATTTGGTTGGACTCTAGCTTCAGGAAAAATGGAGCTAGAGCAAACCAAATAGTTCATATATGTTCTTGGCAGCTCTTTAGCTTACAAGCTTCAGCTATATTTAAAATATAAAGGTTGGTTTAAAGTTATTTCAACTTTCTTCCGTTGTTTTCTATTTTTCAGCATCATATCAACTCAAGTCGTTAAAAGTAAAAGTATAAAATCCTAGAGCCCTATACAATTATTTTCATTGTTTGGGTCCCGCATCATAGCTTATATAGCCACACTAAAAATCTCAGCGAAGGAAAAAAAAAGAAAGAAAAGAAAAACATGCACATCGACGATGAACTGTCACCGTAGAGCCTAGTAGAGCATTATATAGCTTCATCTAATTCTAATAAGGTGCAAGATAGTGTTTGCGATAGATTAAGATGAAGATAAAGTAGAGCTGAAAAAACTAGAAAATTATTAGCGCATAACTAATTAAGTTTAAATATTATAAATTTAAAAAATAGATTTGTTCGATATTTCAAAGCAACTTACACATAGACATTATTTAGCAATTTAAAAAACATGTTAATAAAAATTAAGTTAAAATTTATATGTTAATTCGAAAATAATGTGCACGGTCAAGTACTTAGCTTAAAAAAGGTAACCAGCTAGTACTAGCAGGGAGAAACAGTGTCCAGCTGCTGCTGCGGCAAGAGCCTGGAATGAGGTGGATCCTGCCAAGCCAGCATTTTGAAGACATCATAGCTAGGCTGTCGTGCGTCCAAAAATATAGCAATGTTGGCGAAATAAAATAGTCACAAACCAACAACATAGCGCCATAGCGATATATTAGGCGTTCAAAAATATAGCTTCCCTACCAACTCATTAATCCCTTGGTTCTAGATTTAATACGGATACTTATATTTATAACTAACTTTTTTTTATGGTAGGTAACGTACCTGTCTTCTGAAGATGATTATAGAGATAGAGTGTGCTTATGTACACATTATGAACATCTACATTTATATATACTTTTAAAAGCACTTTAATACACTATATAATAGAGTTATTTTTTAACCGTACGTGTAGTCGAACTGGTGAGCCAGCGATCGATCACTATTTTATCTAGAGATGGTAACGGGGCACCACCCTATTCACTACTCGTGACTCATGAGCACGCATCAATCAGATGAAATTTTTACTTATCAGAAATTGGTAAATTGAGTTGGAAAAATTAATCAAACCTATAAATAAAATTCACAATTAAACTGCAGTAAGGCCTGCCACCTTTGAAACACGAGAATTGTTTTTATGCCTAACGGAATTTAACTAACTAATTCATCTGAAAATATCGTAAAATTTGCGTGAATAATTAAGGAGACCGTGGCAACAAAGATGTGCAGCTGCGTATTCATTTATCAAAGAAGGAAAAACGTAAATAGCTGAAGTTAATTTGGTGTAATATAATATAATATCAAAATATAATAATTAGTATTGGATTGAACATATACCAACACTACAAATTTATCATAATATTATAGTTTGAAATCGAGGGAGTACTTTGTTAACGACAAATGGCGTATACCATCAGTACAGTACTAGTACTACTTAATTCGACCGTTTGCTGACAAGGAATTGAAGCAAAAACGACATGAAATCGGAGAGAGCTGACTGCACTAATCAGATTCACACATATTTTTCATTTCTATCGTATCAATCCAACTTGCATTGATTGCTTTTAGTTGAAGCGGTGAATTCATGTTTTGGTGTGTATGAAATCATCATGCAGGTAGTTGGGCGATTTTGTGAAAATTACGAAGATGATATACGTACCATAACGCAGTCGGATGGCAGATAGCGTAGTTCGTATTCGTACAGCAGCTCTAGTAAATTATTTGTCCGATTTTAATAGTTAAGGGTATACAATGTCTGGCTTTCGAGTTTATAAGGGTGTAATTCGATCGACCGCAATAGTTCCAAGGGTAAATCGTACATTTTCCTAATTATAATGATGGTGGTATGTGGTTTGTCCTTCATTAGCCTTCATCTTTCTCTGATCTCATCTTCGTCTCTCACGTCAAATTAGGATCCTCTGATTTTGAAGTCACAACTTCTTTATTTCTGACATGTAAATCCGAGTTTTTTTTGCCATAAAAAAAGTCACATGACATCAACCTTAGAGGATCATGTGTCTCTTGCGCCACTACCGTCGTCCCTCTTCTTCCTTTACTTACCTTCACGCCTTCTCTAAAATTATACCGCCCATCTTCTCATTGCTCTTTGGCCGAATGTGATACTAACAATATTCTCCCAATAAACTTGGATCTTCAAGATCTTCCTAGATTATTATAGCTGCATACTCCCTTCGTATAAAAAACTAATCTAGTATATAGTATCGGATGTGACATATCATAATACTGTGAATTTAGATATACATATATCTAAATTTATAGTACTAGTTTGGCTTTTTTACGAGACGAAAGTAGTATGTATATAAAGAAGCAGCCGTATGTTCCTGTTCAAAACGAGGACAATAGATATAGCAGAAACAATGGTGACACGACTACGAGCCACATGTGCTATGAGTGGGTCATGGATGTTGGCATCATGGTATGGTATATACTTACCGCAGCTGTCACCAGAGATGATAATTTCCTACTACATTCGTTATAATTTAAAATATACTAATATAATATTAAATTAGACATATTATAATATTACGAATCTAAAGTTCGGGATAGATATGATCTATCTAAATTTATAATATTGGAATGTGTCTAATTTAATATTAAATTACTATATTTTAAAATGGAGAGAGTAAGTAGTACTACGGCTGAGGACAAATGTATCGGCAGATCAGATCAGATCGTGAGTGCAGAGCAAAGCTAGGGTGCGACAAGGAAACCAACAAAAGATTCTGCATCTGTATATCTATTTTAGAAATATATAAGAAAGGTTCGGGTATTTCGGTTAGCACCATAAGGTATGTGTGCTAACGAGTCTCGCTTCTCTTTTAATAAATTTGGATATGAGAGATATTTCTCTAATATCCAGCATATTTCAGAAATACATCACAAATACAATGCAATGCTGTGCTAGCTGCTACAGCTATCCAGATACACAACGTACGTATGCTGCATGTAGCACAACCTTTGTCCTCAGGATGGCAACAGTACCATATGCCAGAAAATCAGACTGAATTCTTCGGTGTTGCCGTCTTAGAACTTCTTTGAAAGCTACCTCTGATGAACCTTTGTACAAATAAAAGTTGTGGCAGATAGGGTTTAAAAAGCGCTAGTGTGGTACCAAATCCAATATATAAGGTGCTAATTAACATTTACTCTCTCTTTTCCTGGAACTAGTTTTTTCCAACTACTACTCTCTCATTTTCCACACAAGTATATTTCCAAACGGTTAAACAACGATATGTTCTTTTTTAAAAGAAATCTATAGGAAAGCTCCTTTACAAAATCATATTAATCCATTATCTAAGAATTTTATAACTAATTTAATTAATTATATGTTTTTTAGATAACTTAAACAACTTTATTAACCAAGACAGAAAGCAGGGGATACACCCCAATACATCGCAGAAGGATACAACTTAAAGCAAAGCAAGAAGCCATCTCTAACAAGGTAGAAGCTAACCAATCTAAGGAAGCTAACTTCCAGATGAGACTAAACAACAGTAGAGAATCAGATCGACAGAGTTCTGCGGCAAAGCCGCGACGACTGAATCCTTGGGTCTCCATTGACATGCTCACCGCTTGACAGACTGGAAGGCTCCTACAGCTGTCACCACGGAAACGACACAAATCGGAGGTTTGGTGCTGAGCCGTAGATCTTGGTGTAGACGTCACCGGACTCAGCGAATTGGTTCCACGGAGTCTGCCGTTAGATATGCTAATGGACCATTTTTTTCGTGCGTGGGAAAGGAGTGTTCAGACAAGCAAACGATGCTAGCTAATAGCAATGTTTTCTTTCCAGAAGGTAGCATGGGTGTCCTTATGGGTCTTATTCCAGTATTTACTGTTCGATGGCTAAGTGTCCTCAGGGATGGGCAGTGAAAATGCAATTCCTAGCAACCAACAAAATATTTAATTAGATTTTTTTTCTTTGTTTCATGTCATTTGCTTTTTCATTGGAATTATTATTTGCTTGATAACATACCAAAAAAGAAATCTATCTAGCTACCCAAATGATCAAATATGCAACTAGCACAGACATCAGACCTGTTGATATAATTGTCTTTTAGCTTCCCTTTTTATATATTTTGTTGGAGATCTGGCTGCAACTATCCCATTTTCTATGTCCATAATGTTTTGGTTCTGGCACTGTGCGTTACACGTGGTATGGCATATCAGTTCAATTAGAAAATGACAACAGTACCTCTACCACTGGGACCGGGATCCTCTCTATCATCAAAGGCAGATAGCCAAAGTTTTGATTTGGGTTATTTGGATATATTGCATTATAAATTTGACGGATTTGAAATAGTTTGGGTCTATGCTACAGTGCTTGATATCAACGGGCAAGTACTGGCAAATTGTTTGATTACGCTGCCGGAATTGGATTGTTTGAGAGGCAACCGTAACTTCACTAACTCAAACACGTGACAACTATTAATTTGCTGATACTCATAGTAGAAATGATTTGGACCTTCCACATTTTCTTATCTAACGAAACAAACCTATTTATGCCATCACCATAATTACCATTAGAATTCGTGGGTTAATAATATTGTTTCTACTGACAGAAGAGCATATGAATCAATGGTTTAGATAATCTATGTTGAGTGTTGACAGTATTGCTGGTAGCAGATTTGCACCGGTGGATGATAGTATTGTCTTGTCACAACAATTTGGTTGGCGTGGTAAAAAAGTTTCAGATTCAGAAATAAGTTTTGAGAGGGTTTATTTTTAAAACTAAAAATTAAATAGTTAAAAAGGTTTTTTAATAAAAAATCCACCGGTAGATTGGTTGCAAAACTTGGCTACAAAAGCATAGTCTTTGTCTTGATGTGGATACAGTGTAAACAAACAAAGGGTCTTTCACAGACAGAAAAGGTCACCCCATGTGTGTGCTTGCACGTGAATGTTACTCTATACACCCTCCGTGAAAAAAAAAATAACTTCTAACGATGAATCTGAATAAATGCTTGTACAGATTCATCTACAGAGGTTAGTTTTTCATAGGACGAAGTGAGTATACTATACAAGTGACCCATTTGGGACAGTCAGAAGGGTGAGAGAAACAACTCACATGCAAGAGTAGGTGATGCCTGGCTGTCACAGTGTCACTGGGTGATCCGGTGAGGTGTAGTGCAGGAACCACGTGCATGGACCATCACACTGATGTTTTTTTTTTCTCTTTCCTGAAATACGAGCAGATGGGGGGGAAAAGCAGACTGTGTATATTCAGGTTTTTGTTGTGCATGATCACAAACATTTGCGTGATCGACACAACAATGGGTACAGAACAAGATAAGGTCCAGTCAGATGCACGTACCTGTGCCCATATTGTTCTGCTTCTTCCATTTGACCAGAAGGACAGGACTATTGCACAATCAGAATGTGATGAATACTCATGGGTCGAAATTATTAGTATGGTGGGTCTAAACCTCCAGCTGCAAGGAAAGGTTCATCACCCCAACCCTTCTTGCCTTCTCCATTTGATACTGACGTGCTTAGCACAGCACACAATACCAAAAAAAAAAAAAAGTGGCAGCTACAGGACTTCCAAACTTTTATTGAGTGCAGAAAAAGAATATGTATACAGACTGTTAGACAGACTGGACCAGATGTTGAAACCTTAAGCATTTTGGAGCAAACATCCATGGTTGTCAAACTTATATTCAAATTATGAATGTCTTAAATTACTGAGTTCAAATTTTGCAAATCTTAAATTACTGAGTTACAATCACACCATACATGTTTAGGTCAAATCGTACACCATGACTGGCTGCTATATTGGCTATGTTACATATTCGGTAAGGTAGTATTTACCAATACAGATATAGCATTTTATAAAATGCTATAAAAATTCTTTAGTGGTGGAATAGGTTAAAACAGAGAGTGGTCAAATTCGATGGGATCGTATAATTATTATTCATGTCTATAGAATAACATGCTACAAACTATTTACATACACATACTCAAGCAGTTTCATAGAGCAGGCCGTGCAACTTGATAATAGCTGCAAACCATAGGTATGAATTGCACGCCCATCTTACATCAGAGGCCCAAATGCATTGTCACTGGACAAAAGATACAACAGTATAAGACAATCCTGATATGTTACTCATAACCTGCATTAAAAACTAATGCAGTACAAACTATAAGAGAGAAGATCAAGGCATTACCTCAATAGCAATCCTGACTTATGATTTTCTGAGTATCTGGGCTGACATTCACTGAGCATGTTATGAGCCCCTGGATTAGTAAAAATGTTAGCGGTTTAACACAAAATATATGCAAATGTATAATGCTACAGTTGTACACCACCACTACTAAGAAGTTCATGGTAAAACACTCTTTGAGAAAATGATGGGATGACATATTTTTCCATTAAGAAAAGAGCTAGCTCAGTCCTGCTGTAGTGCTGTAGAGTGTAGAGGATTCAGCATTTAGGTTGGTATTCTGACTTATCTAACCAATTGAGAATTGAAATATGGGCAATGCTAAGAGGTTATTGCCCATTATTTGACTTGTTATATCTACACTCTTGCAAAACAAAAACAAAATCCCGACCCATCCAACCATGAAGATTCAAAAGCGAAGACATCTCAGCACCTACTAGTACTGTATGATCTATCATCAACTGATACACGAAGGAACAAATTGTGAAGGGGTATGATGCACTAATTGTATATCCAACTGACAGATCACAGCTCCATCTCCCTTCGTGTCGAACACAATACTGTTCACCAAACCTAACAAGCACAAATTAGATGGCACACGGCATCAGCCAGAGGATCCGGTCGCTCCTTGGCCCTTTGGCATCCTAGAGCCATCCATCCCATATGATTCATGTTTGCCCACCTCATCTAGTGCATGTTGGCATGGTAGGCTAGCATCAGCCTGCCACAGCACTCACTCTCACTGTGTGGCACTGCCTTAGTTAACAATTTCAGAAAAAATAGGAAAAGCTGTTCATCTACATTAGACAAAGTTCTTAAGTTTACCTTAATTAACAAACTAGTGTATTCTTTATTCTTGTTTTGAGATCAACATCTAATCCTAATTTTGAGTATAGCTGCTTCAACAATACTTTTAAGTTAGCAGATTAACCACTTCATGTGATGTTGAACATGAAGGGATACATATTTGTTCATGCAAAATTAGATTCCCTAAACTTATCAAGACTTGACTATGCATTGAAAATTACACTTACAATAAGAAAGAACTAAATTGATTGGTTTCTTGGAAAATGGAGGTATTAATAGTATGGTTTCTTGGAAGATGGAGGTATCGATAGTACCTATGTGACAACAATAAAACTTGGCCCAAAAATCTATTTTAGGAATTGAAAATGTGTACAAGTGGGTAATTCTCACATTGTTTAACAAAATATTTAAGTAGATCAATCAGAAAACAAGATAAATAAAGTATAGTGAAAGCATTCTTTTATGAAGCACATTTTTAAAACTTAAGTTACTTTTGTTTCAGTGCTAACATTCTGACAAGTTCTTGGCCCTTTGGTCGAGTTCAGTCTATGCTGTCTATACCAAACATTTTATCCACTTAATTCAAAATATGCAGCTCTCTGTCGTTTATTTTCTAAAAAAAATAAAACTAACATCATTTCTGGCTTAAGTATTCAACCAAGGGTTAGCGAGATATTTAACTATTTGCCACTCTTACAAGTGGCGATTAAGGATTTGCCGCTGGACCAACATGTCATAGGACATGAGGGCCCACATGTCATAAACTGTGAGTGGCAAATCCTTAATTGCCACATCTTAAAAGTGGCAAAAAGTTAAATGCCCCGGGTTGAACAATAACCGACAACTTAGTAAATGCTTATGTTCTGCACCTGGAGGGGAAAAACCTATTGTGAAATGTGGAACTAATTTGCAGTATTGCATTTTCCAAGCAGATTGAAACTAGGGTCAGTATCTGCCTATGCTAAGTTATGCATAAAATCCTGAGAAGAAATTTCTAATTATGTTCCTTCAATGCTTCAAACCTGTTCCCCTTAAGTATCTCTTCAGCACTGCCCTCATCTATTATGTCACTCCCACTCCTCCATTGCTTATTATACCACTCCCACTCTTCCATTGTAGGGTTAGTCTGATAACAATTTGGTCTCATGTGCTTCAGTTAACCTCCACTCTGTATCGTCCATTCTACAACTCCTCCTGCCCCCTTGCTATTACCCCTCCAGGGGCCACTAACTGAGGCTCTGAAACTATAAAAAATTCTCACTCAACCTTGTGGCAACAAGTCATCCAGAAACTCAAACATTTGGCCATTGTCCTCACAATTTTGTCACTCTGTCTAATTCTTCTATAGTTAGCTTTATGATATTATTATTTCTTACATTTTTTTTCTCGAAAACGCAAGAGCCATGCGTTTCATTTCATTAAGAATAAGAAAGAGTATGTACAATAGGGTGATTCACAAGGAACACTCTGGAGGGAAGAGAAAAAAAAAGGAAGAAAAGGTCTCGCCGAAGCGATGTGCAACAACTCCCAGAGGAGCTAGGTTCCTAAGTGGGAAGTGACCGGGTCATGAGTTCATGGAGAGCTCTTGCCCCAGCAGTGCACCATAACATAATAGCAGTAATATTTTGCATGCTTAGTAGTTTTTTCTGTTCAATTTATCTTTTGTGCTTAAGAAAATGTATCCATGATTGAAAGAAAACGAAATTCACTTTTTTCCTAAATGTCGTTAATTTGCAATTTGGGACAACATGGTTCAAGGCCAGATTCAAGTAGAAAGCCATAATTTTCTAGGCCTTTTCATCTAAATCTAAACTTCTTGGTTCCAACAAATGCTACTCATATAATGCAGATGGGCATGTCATCAGCATATGCAACTTATATATCATTATCTTAGAGACAGCCTATGAAATTTGTTAGCTCGGTTATTGTACCACTAATATAAGACAGATATTTTACAATGCGCTGTTTGACAAATGACCACCTCTTATATATCCTTGTCTTTTCTACTAAGATGCTTTGCATTGCCACCATGAAAGAAAAGGAGGAAAACCATGGCCCTTTAACTTCACCAACTTCAAAATGGAAATGTTGACCCAAAAAAAACTCGAATGAAAACAGAGAGCCTCGTAACATAGTAGCTGCAAGCAAAATCCTATCCTATCACTGATACACCAAGCACAAGAATTCTGTCCATACAAGTGCTATAGCATATCCTAACAAATAATGGAACTATTCCTTAATTAACCCTAAGAACATCGGGAGCATGTAGATTAAGGAGACAAGTTATCATATTAATGGTAGCAAATTTTAATAATTTTTATAAACTTTCTAAACCAATGTGGAATTACAGGTTCAAGAAGAATCAGTTTGACAAATGCCCTATAGTTACTTAACTATATCAACTACCATTCAGCAGCCCCAGCCCCTCATATGAACTGCAATTTGTTTAATAAGAGAAGAACAGTTTAACTCTGCCGTGATAAACCTAATAATACGATTTAGCCTAACACTCTCCCTAGCTATATTCAAAAGCCCCAAACTTCTCCAAACAATATCCATCACCATGATATCAATCGATCGTTGGCAAATCAATGTAATTCGTAAAATTTATGACAAGAAAATGAAAATTACCTTCACAGGGATGTCGAAACGGAAGACCCTGACAGCGCCGACCACCTCGGTCACGATCTCCAGCGGCAGGGACCCCGCGGCGAGGTCCCCGATGAGGTCGATGACGTCATCCACGACCCTCCCGGCGTCCACCCACACCTCGGCGTCGGCGTACGTCGTCCCTCTGGCACCGAGCTCGCCGGATCCGGGGCGCGCGGCGGCGGAGCCGAGGAGGTGGCCGCGGTAGGAGACGGCGGCGGACACGGCGCGGTATCGGAGCGGGAGGACGAGGCCGGGGTTGCGGACGCGGAGGCGGAGCGCGAGGTGGAGATCGACGGACGGGAGCGGGGGCGGGTTGACGCGGAAGCGGTCGAGGCGGAGCCCCTCGACGCGGGCGACGGGCGCGGACGGGTAGAGGAGGAAGGCGAGGCCGGCGAGGAGCGCGAGGAAGAGGAGGAGCGGGAGCGTGCGGGCGGAGAACGCGCGGAGGCAGGGGACGCGGCGCGGGCGGAGGCGGCGGAGGCGGACGAGGACCGGGGAGGTGACCGGGACGAACACCAGCGTCGGCGGCGGCGGCGGCGGCGGCGGCGGCGGCGGAGGCGCGTATGCCGCCGCGGGGAAGGCGTAGTAGGGCTGATTGGGCGGCGGGAGGAGGGGCTGGCCGAGTTGCGCCGAGGGCTTCTCCCCGTCGCCGTCGCCGTACGCCGCCGATCCGTACGACGCCATCGCCGGAGTTGCGGTTGCGAGACGGTGACGAGTCACAAAGTGGTGAGATCAGGAAGAGAGAGACGAGGAGGGTTGATGCTCCTGTCGTCCAATGGGAGGGCGCCACGTGGGTGACTTAGAGTGGGGGAGACGAAGGGACCACCGGCTACACATTTGTCGACAAATTTTCTCCTAAAAATTTGACAAATATAATTATAATACAATCGTTGTGTAATTATACTGTAACTTGTATGTAATTACACTGTAATTTGCATGTAACTACAGTGTAACTTATATGTAAGTTTCCGTAATTTTGAATTGTTAGATCTATTACAAGATTTGTTCTGGTGAAGAAGAAAAAAAATCATAGCACACACATATGTAAAAGGATTTGTTCCCACGATCTCTATTAATTTTACCGAAATAACATGTTACGAAGAGATTTTTAAAAGTTACATACAAGTTACATTATAGTCACAGTGTAATTACATGTAACTTACAATGTAATTACAGTACGATTCTGTTAAATTTTTGGAGGAAAATTTGTCGACAAATATATAGCAAAATTGAAGACGAAACCTTAGATGGGCCGGGCCGGGCAGACGTTGACGGCCCATCAGGCAAAAATTCTGGCTCGCCGCCGGCGACATGCCTCGTCGTCGTTCTGCGCTCCGGCGATGGATACGGCGAGAGATTAATGTACTGTTAATTTTTTAGAGGAAATGTACTGTTAATTATAATTATCCTGCTTTAGCAAGGTATTTAAGCTGGTTTGTTGGAGCAAGCTACTGGCTCCAAAGTGGCCTTCAGTACGTATCTAACCCATATATATCTCTCGAGTTACCGTGCACTGCTTTCTTTTTGTTAGTGGTCAGTAATTTTGAGTGGATGAGTAATTAATTACAGCAAGTTACTTGCTCTAAAGCAGCTTTAGCCGGTCCAAGTACACGTGTCCTCAGTTCCTCACTGTTGTCTTCTCTGCCATCCTGTATATATACATGGCAGCATCAGCATCACTCTAATCAAATTATCGAACTGCATTTTTCATTATAAACTCTAAACCTTAAACCTCAAAAATAATGGAGCTCATGGCTAGAGTGTTCCTGCTTCTTCTCCTGCCTCTCTCCTCCTCCGCGGCCACCGCCGTTGCCGCCCCTCCGCCTCCTCGATCTCAAGCTCAAACCGCCGATGGTAATGGTGTGTTGTCGAATCTCTCTTCTTGCAATAAATAATTAACAGTCTCAACTTTTCGCTTATACTTATACTTACAAGTGAAAATTTAAATTTTTAATATAAATTTGGAATTGATTTTGATGTCTTTTTATCATAGTTTATTTTTCAGCCTTTGTTTGTAAATTGTTAAATACATATATATATATATATATATATATATATATATATATATATATATATATATATATATATATATAAAAGTTTTATTTACAAATTATTTTTCATTTATAAATATGCCGAATAAGCCAAACGATGCGGCTGTAAATCTCATGGCTGTGATGTTTGAGAATGTAAGGACAATGGCATTTTCAGGCGTGCTGGTGAACGGCAACTTCGCGATGAGCCCCCGGAAGATGAACGCCACGGTGATCGTCGGGAGGGACTCGCTGCCGGGGTGGGCGCTGCGCGGCCGCGTCGAGTACGTCTCCGGCGGGCCGCAGCCCGGCGGGATGTACTTCGCCGCCGCGCCGGGCGCCCACGCGCTCCGCCTGGGAGCGCGCGCGTCGGCGGCGCAGGCGGTGGCGGTGCGCCCCGGCGCGGCGTACGCGCTCACGTTCGCGGCCACGCGCGCCTGCGCGCGCGACGGCGAGCGCGAGGAGGCGCTGCGCGTCGCCGTGTCGCCGTCGTTCTCCGCTCCCGGCGACGTCCCCGTGCGCACGCTCTACGGCGCCGGCGCCGCCGACGCCTGGGCGTGGGGGTTCCGCGCCGCCGAGAGGAACGCCCAGGTCGAGTTCAGTAACCCCGCCGCCGCCGACGACCACGACGGCGACGACGGCCTCAACTGCGGCCCGCTCCTCGCCGCCGTCGCCTTCAAGGAGCTCCCGGCGCCAATGCCATCCAAAGGTAAACTAACCCAACGCCATGGCATCCATGGAAGGTGACCTTCCTCTTCTTGGATTTGACGACGCCATTGCTGGCTGCAGACAACCTGATCCGGAACGGCGACTTCGAGGCCGGGCCGGCGGCGATCCCGAACTCCACCGCCGGCGTGCTGCTGCCGCCGAAGCGGAAGGACGCGACGTCGCCGCTGCCGGGGTGGATCGTCGAGTCGCTCCGCCCCGTCCGCCTCGTCGACGCGCCGCACTTCGCGGTGCCGCAGGGGCAGCGCGCCGTGGAGCTCGTCGCCGGGCGGGAGGGCGCGGTCGCGCAGGTGATCCGCACCGCACCGGGCCGCTCGTACAACCTCTCCTTCGCCGTCGGCGACGCCAGGGACGGCTGCGAGGGCGCCATGCTGGTGCACGCCGTCGTCGTCGCCGGCGGCGGCGGCAACGCGACGGCGAAGGCGGCGGCGGCGGCCGTGCCCTACGCGTCGCGCGGCGGCGGCGGCGCCAGGCAGGCCAGCCTGAGGTTCGTGGCGAGCGGGCGGCGCGCCAGGGTGACGTTCTACAGCTCCTACTACCACACCAGCGCCGGCGACGGCGTGTCGCCGTGCGGGCCGGTGCTGGACCAGGTGAAGGTGCAGCCATTGATGACGAAAGCTTAGCTTAAGCTGTCGTCAGCTCAGCTCAGCTCGTCGTAATCTTGCATGCCTTGTGTTGGCTAATGTTAATCTGTGGTTTTTTTTTGTTTTTATTATTTTTTAGGTAAAATTTGCGGTTTTTTATTGATGTTGTCATGAATTAAAATGAGTGCAAATGTGCAACGTAGCAGGATGTGGCTACTGGTACGTGATTAGCGATCTCGCGTGACATTTGAAAGCTGTTTTCACGTTTCATGAAATTTGGAAGCTGTTTTCATATTTCAGTATGAAATAGTTCTGTAATTCGTTCAAAAAATATATACGTTTGCTGGTAAATCTATTTCACGTACTCCATAGATTATACTGGGCTAGTTTTGGGCCTTTTTTTTGTTGGGGCCACATGGATCTGAACTTGTGAAGGAAATTAAAGAAAAAAATTGGCCATAGTAGAAGGTTTAACAAACAAACGGTTCATGAGAAAAATCCAATCTTTCAGTACCATATGAGTGCCAACTGGCAACTGCCAACTGCGAACGGTTTAAGGAGGCACAAAACTATAAATTTTATCAAATTTATCACCATACTATATATTTATGGAGTATCTTGAAACTACAAATTTAGCAATGAAGTTATAAAATATATAGATTTTAGAGTTGAGTTTCCTTAGCATTGTTGTCCCGCTGGAGTTATAAATCTTGTAATATTATGGTAAAACTAGCATCAAACATGTATTTTCTAATTCGATACCTTAAATATGTAGCTGCGATAAACACAACAATGAATTTGTTGTTGGATGATATAACGACTTATACATAGTTTTATCATAATTTGTTCAAAATATATATAGTTCTATGAAATTTACTTATCAGTTCAGTTCCTGCAAAGCTCCTCTGTTCCAAAGGAGCACGAATTTTGGAAGGATTTAAGCAATCTTGAATACAATTATCTGTGCTATGGTTTATAGTCTGAATTTGAAGTTATTGACTCCAGCTTATATCTTCTTTTTTTTTATTTGGTGTGTTCTACTTGTTTTGAACTACACTCTTTTCTAGAGTGATACTTTGTAATAATTGGTTGTAGCTCTTTTTAACAAATACCGGGATATTATATTCCATTATCTAAAAAATCTAACCGAAGCTATGGAAAATAATTTTATAATAAGACCTTTTATGTTTGTACTCTTAAGGTCGAAAGGTAATGATGAATGAAAAGACTAAAGACCAACGAAAAATCCCTAATTTTAATTCTAAAAGTTTAAAAACGATTGTGGCCAAATCATCATGCTGCATGCCTACTAGACATTCATTTCCAACCAAATCCAGATGAAATCCCCACATTTCAAATCGAGGAGACGCCCTCAATCATCGTTGCCGCGGAAAGTCGCAATCGCTTTTGTCGCACCCAATGGGAGAAGGATTGATCAAAGATAGGAACCCAGCACGAATCATTGACCGACGCGATTTTGACACGCAGAATCTGTCGTTGCTTTCATGGCCCCTCATCGTACACTAGGCAATTTAGGAGGAGTAGAGTGGAGTACCAATTAGGCAATTAGGACTTCACTTGGTTAAAAATAAAACTAGAGTTTATTACTAGTTGCTAGTAATTGTTAGTACTAATATTACAGTTATCAATCTATGCATTAAGAAACATATATCTGTCTAGTATATTATTAGATGGCTTTAAAAAAAGACACCATGTTCATTTTGAGGCTAAAAATTTTCATATTAATTGAAGAAAAAAAGACAGTAATATAATTTAGAAACAACTAAAATTCGGAATATAAAATAAAGAATATTGAGAATAGAATCCATATAAAACCCAACACGAGATTAATTGAGATTCAAATTAAAAAAATAAATTCTAAAATTGGATTTCAATATGAGTTTCAAATAAACTTAAATTATCATTAAAATTATCTAAATTATCATCCATTAAAACCATAAAAGGAGTCCAATGACATCTTAAACTATAAAGCAGAACACCAATAACGATTATGGCTGATTTTTAAAATTGTAATGACTATAAAAAGGAGAGATGGCGGGCAAGCCGTAAAAGGGTTGAGCGGTGTCGGTTGACAGGACTTTAAAAACAAACAAAAGAAACCTAACGATGATCAGGTTTAAATTTTAAAATTTCAATGACAATAAAAAGGAGGGGTAGCAGGCATGTTGCAAAGGAGTAGTGTGACGGCGTTTTATAGAACTTCTAAAAATATAAAAACGGAATCGGTGAGACAATGAACTCTAAAAACTAATAAATAAGGTTTGATTTTTGAAAGGTTTGAACGATAGCCATGACATGCCGATAAATCAAGTAAATGGACGGCAAAGGAATAAGAGGTGGTGACTGGCGTCACTTTTACTATAAATTTAGAAATTCGATGATGATATGTTTGTTTTTCAAAAAACTTAGGACAATGAGATGAGTATTTATTTTAAAAGAAAACCATATATAAAATAGTTTTAAATGAGTGCTAGCCACGTAGTTACGCGGGATCAACATACTAGTTGACCTAATTTCGTGGCTCATCAGCCTCCCGGACCAACTCCTGAGCGATAGCGTCCGATCATTGCCTTTGTAAGCTATCTCACCAAGTCACCAACTATCATGCCAGAATGTCTGCGAAACATGGCTGAATCTCACAAGTGCATTGTCGTCAGATTTTCTCCAATCAGGCAGCAACTTGTCCGTCATTGTTTCGTCCAAAAGGTTCAAGCCCAAGCTGCCACGAAAGGGACCATTGGATTCAGAAGCCGTACATACAAACACATAGAGATGAGACCAGATCACTCATCAACAGGTCCACAGCCAAATGGGCCAGGGATCCCCTCAGGCATTGATAGTGAAGAAAAAACTTTACAGAAGAGGAGACCACTCTACACTATCTGTGGAATGATAGAGAGAAAAGAGAATAGGTCATAGGTGCACAAGCACAAGCACAACCACCTCAACCAAAAGCTCAGCATGTAATGGGAGCAACAGGATGCCTGAATTTTTCAAGGTTTCCGACCAGATTTGTAATGTACCAAACATTCTCCACTCTGCATGTTGCTAGCAGTACAGCAGCCACTGTGCTCAAATCTATGATACATACTGTTTGGCTGGGACTTGGGATACCCCCCCCCCCCCCCTAATGAAGGTTATGTACACCGAAGAAGACGGCATCGTTGGATTTATATACCAGGATCGATCGGTCAACCGATCGCCAAAAAATTACCGCACGGGGTTGTTGTTTACGCTTCTCGTTTCATGAGCAATCTTCACAGCTAGAGGATATGCTGTCCCTGCCCTGGGTCCTCAGCTGTTCTTGGCCTCTTGCAGCATTTCCACCACCTTCTTCATCTTGGGCCGCTTCGCTGGGGCGCGCTCGGTGCACAGCATCGCGACCTTGAGCACAGCAAGCATCTGCTTGCGCCACGCGAACGACACGGTGCTCAGCTTCGGATCCATGATCTGCTCCGGTGTCTCACCCCTCGCGGGGGCAGAGTGCACCCACTTGACAAGGTCCATACCCTCCCCGAACTCCTCATCCACTGGCAGCTTTGACGTTAGGATCTCCAGCAGCACCACCCCGAAGCTGTACACGTTGCCCGGCACAGTCACTTGCATTGTGTAGGCATACTCTGAAATGGAGGAATTGCAACAGCAACATATTGTTATGTTTGTGAACAAAAAGGAACTTGTTTAGTGGTCAGTTGTGGAGCAAAATTCAGATTTCAGACCTGGAGGTATGTAACCGAACGAACCGGCAACTGCACTGATGCTAGCAGTGCCCTTCAAAGGGTCCAGAAGCTTGGAGATTTCCACTTCACCAAGAAGCGCATTGTAGTGCGAGTCAAGGAAGACGTTCCCCGAAGAGATGTCCAGGTGAATGGTGGCGACATGATGGAGGAATGCCAACCCTTCGGCGACATCGATGGCAATCGACAACAGCCTTGGCCAGTCAGGCTTCTGGTTGTCACCGTCAGGGTTGTCGACATTGTGCAGCAGCTGAAGCAAGGTTCCATTCGGCATGTGATGGTGCAGCAGCAACGCGACGTCCTCGTAGATGACATACCCAATGGGACGAACAAGGTTTGGGTGGTTGATGTGCGAAAGACACTCGAGCTCCCATATCATCTTTGTCTGGTGATGGATAACCGCACGATCAACTGACTTCAGCTTCTTGACACAGACTACCATACCGGATGGCATGACGGCCTTGTAGGTTATGCTGAATGTCCCATTGCTCACAACATTGGCATCCTTGAATGTTGCCTTGACACAACTCTGGAAGTCGATAGCCTGCTGCAAGCTGTCGATGAACATGTTTGAGGCCATGACCTGCGGCGCTGCCACTACAACCTCCCCCGCCTCAGCCATCTTCGCTTCAGCCTCCTTCTCCTGCCTCTCACGCCACATGAACAACGCCACCACCAACGACACCACAGAGAAGATGAGCACGCAGGACCCCACAACTGCCAATGCCACCCTGTAAGATATCTTCCTGTGGTCCATTCCATAGCTGGATCCATAAATTGGCCCGCAGTCTACAACCAGCGGGTTGCCACACAGCTTGGTGTTGCCGGAAAAGCTGGACGCCGCGCTCTTCTGGAATGGAGCAAACACGGGGATGGCGCCACTTAGCCGGTTGTTCGACAAATTGACCTCAATCAAGCTCAGCATCCCTCTCATATCACCTGGTATCTCCCCGGATATCTCATTGCTCGACAAGTCCAGCGCGACGAGCTTATCAAGCCGCCCAAGCTCACGGGGCAGCGGCCCGACAAGGTGGTTGAAGCTAAGATTCAGGGCAATCTGCAAGCTCTTGACCCTGCCAATTTCAGCCGGTATCTCACCAGTAAGATTGTTGTTTCCAAGTTGCAGCTCAAGAAGCCGGCCACAGCCGCCGATGCCGACCGGGATGCCACCGGAGAACTCGTTGTGATCGAGCAAAAGGAATTGCAACCTCGACCCGTTGCAGACGCTCTCCGGCAAGCCGCCGCGGAACGCGTTGTAGCTCAGGTCGAGCTTGCTGAGGTTCCGGCACCTCAGGATCGACCTCGGGAACTCCCCGGAGAGGCCGTTGCTGGAGACGATGAGCTCCTGGAGGCTCCTGAGCTCGCCGAGCACGTCGGGGACCTCGCCGGCGAGGCGGTTGTAGGCCAGGTTGAGCAGCGTGAGGTTGGCGCATCGCGCGAGCTGCGCGGGGATCCCGCCGGTGAGCTCGTTGCTGTCGGCCTCGAAGTAGGTGAGGCTGGTGGCGTCGCCGATGGACGCCGGGATGGCGCCGGCGAGGCGGTTGTTGCCGATGCGCACGTTGGAGAGGGCGGAGCAGCGGCCGATGGTGTCCGGGATGGTGCCATTGAGGCGGTTCACGGTGAGGATGAGCACCTGGAGGTTGCCGAGGTCGAAGAGGCTGCTCGGGATGGCGCCCTCGAGGGCATTGGAGTGGAGGTTGAGCACCTGGAGCTTGGAGGAGAGGCCGAGGCCGGAGGGGATCGGGCCGGAGAGGGAGTTCTCGTAGGCGGAGAGGATGCGGAGGGCGGGGAGCGCGGCGAGCCAGGGCGGGATGGCGCCGGTGAGGTTGTTGCCGGAAATCTGGAGCTCCGTGAGAGCCCTGAGCGACCTGAGCTCGTCGGGGATGCCGCCGGAGAGCGCGTTGTTGGAGAGGTTGAGGAACCTGAGCCCGACGGCGCCGGCGAGGGAGGGCGGGACGCCGCCGGAGAGGTGGTTCATCGACAGGTCGAGGAACTCGAGGCCGGGGAGCCCGCCCAGCGCCTCGCCGGGGACGCCGCCCCGGAGCGCGTTGAACGACAGGTCCAGCCGCGCCAGCGCCCGGAGCCCCGCCACCGCCGAGAAGTCCCCCCTCAGCCCGCGCCGCGGCAGGTCGATCGCCACCACCGCGCCGCCGCCGCCGCCCGCGCACGTGACGCCCCGCCACGCGCAGTAGTAGCTTCCCTTGCCGTCCTCCCCAGCCGCGCCCCAGTCCGGCGGCGCCAGCGCGCGCCGCAGCTCCCGCATTGCGTCCCCGTCCCCATCCGCCGCCACGGCGGCGGCCACGGCCACGGAGGCGCCAAGAACGCAGGCCAAGAACAAGAACGCGGCAGGCGGCGGCATCACCGGTGGTTTCTTGGCTTTCTTGGCGCTGCAGCCGCCGTCGACGTGCTCGCTCCGGCGACCGACCAATCCGCCGCCGCCGCCGCCGAGCTCCTCGCGTCTCCCCTTCTCTCGTGAGGAGGAGACAGGAGCTGTGGCTGCAGCACAGCAGCTGCCTCCTAGCTAGCTCACACACAGCCTCACACTGTCACTCACTCAGCTCACACACACACACACACACACTCTCTCTCTCTCTTTCATGGGAGTTTTTAGAGAGAGAAAGTAGGGGAGGGGATGGGAGGGAAAGGTGGTTGGAAGGAGGAAAAGAGGGAGGGGGGGGGGGGGGGTTGAATTCCACTGTGGGTCCTCAAACAGGGGGGAGGGGCACTGTTTTGTGGGATTGAGGCTATGTCAACACATGGGATTGTACACTGAAACTATTGAAGCCCCAACAGTGTGTTACGGGTAGGATTGTGTCTATATATTGGTTCATGGGGCGTGGTTTGAGGTCGGGTTTTATGGTTTGTTCATGCGGACGGTGACGATAGGTTAACGGTGGTTTAGAGCTTTTTTTATGTATATTCTGATTTACGTACTAGGTATAATACGGCTGAGTGAATGCAAATGGTGTAAAATGGGGTGGTTAGTCCGATCAATCTATTGAGAAGAGACTAGTACTTTTTAAAAGAGGGTAATTCATGATACGGATATTTCACGTTTGTCTCGTGAAAGTTATATGCTTGTTGTGAAATTTGGAATCTAAGTCGTGGAGGGATTTTTATTCAACTTATCTGTTGTGGAATGAGATTCCCTTTACACATACTAAAGTGATAGCGACAAACATGCTAAGCTTTGTTGGCTTAGTCGATAAATCACATCAATGACCATCATAACAAATTGATTCAAGTTAGGAGGCTATCACTTTTCATTCCTTATGTCTCCATTGAAAAGGGGATTCTACATGAAATTTAAAAGAAGTGACTACATTCTAAGAAAATCTTGTATAAAATTCTCGTGTCGAAATATCCTTAAATAAATGCCTCCTTGAAAGGTCACATCAAGTCTCAATGTTATAATAATATTATTTAAGAGAGTATTTTTTTGAAAGAACAATTTATTAATTTACCTTATGGTATTAATATTATTCATGGAAAAGAAAAAAATAACCTCATTTTATCACTATGAAACTTGTTAGCTACAATAGTGCAGCTGCAGTCCGCTGCTATTTTCATGCTTTAGAAACTGTTCTTGCTAGCTACAGCTGCACCACATTTCAAGTAGCGAAAAAAACCTATGAGTTTAAAATACTACTCCGTAAAAAAAAAAGACCAACCTAATATTAGATAATATATAATCTAATATAATAAATTTAGCTGTAGGCTGGCTTTTTATTGAGGAAACACTTAAGCTTGAATCTTTTTTTCAACAATCAGTAGGATAGATTATGCTGAGTCTGAATGGTCAAAAACTCAAATATCTGCGGTAGTCCGGTGCACATAGCATTTTGTGGACGGACATAGTGAATTTCTCGGCTGTTGAGCCGGTGAATCTTTGTGCTCTGTTCCTTTCCCTACCTTGATTTGATCCAAAACAGTCACAGCCAGACAATTAATTACTCCGATTAAGGCGTACGGATTGTCTTAAGTCTACTGACATTAAGGGTGCCTTTGTCCTCGGCACTGATGAAAGGCTTCCCCTGGTTAGCATGATGCTGATGTAATCATGCTGGTTACTCTCTTAATTAACCAATTCTCTTTCCATTGCTCTCTGTGATTAAGTGATTGGTAGTAACTACGTCCTCATAAGCCATAATTTGATTCCTCTTTTTTTTTATCAACCTTTCTGGACCATTTCATCAGCTTTGCAGATGAATCGATTCCCTGGGTGACTAATTATCCCTTGTGCTTCTAATGACAGCCACTAACCATCATGATTACAATTATTTTTTGGCAAGACCAATTGAGCAAACTGGTTGGCTGAAAACATGATGGCATCTTTTGCATGCTAGCTCTCAATACAAGGAGAAGAAATCATTCTCCCTTTCTAGAGGTTAGGCCTAACAATAAAAAGGTTCCTTTTGTGCATGGAAATTATTAGTGATGTCAATGCATTTTTTTTAGATAATAGTGATGTCAATGCATATGAAGACTCTAGTACTCAATTCACAAGTCATTGATGGTGTATGTGCTCTGGCATGCATCATTTGGTCGTAATCTGTTCATAATTTGAGGCTACATTTTGAAAAAAAAAATTCTGGAAGGCCAACTTACAAAAATCCCTACATTTTTTTAACATTGATTAGGGACTAATTTTTTTCACGTCGCCTCTTCTTTCTTTATTTCTTTTAGTATATATATGCCTTTTCAACACAACCCAAACGTATTGTCTTTTGCATGTCTCTAACTCTTTTTCAAGAGAAATTTTAACAAATGTCTCTAACTCTTTTTAACACATGTTTAAGATAATATACATGGCATGAGAAATATGGAAAACCTACTTCTTTAATTAGCTAATGACTGATTATCTACATGCCACTGTAGTCTTGTAGATTGTTCCATGTAGTGTGTTAATGTTGCACATACTTTGTACTGTGTCCCTTCTGTTGCACAACCTTAGAGGCAGGGAAGCACTTGAATACTACTTGATGCTAGGTTTGTTAAGGTGCATTGAATACAGATAGGTTATTAATTACATGCCCTGCTCCCTTTAATTGCTTTTAGTTTGCTCCCATTATAATTGTTTTTAGTTCCATGGAGTGGTAGCTAGCTGGAGCTGCCCAAGTTTGTCACCCCTTGAAACAGGGAATTTTTGTCCTGTGGAGACCAAGCAATTCTAAAAGTTAATACAAAATATTATGAGAAGTTAGGCCAAAGAACAAAAGGCTTCCTTTTGCATTGGATTGTTTTTATGGTATTTTGTCAAGGTATATATACCCTTATGTTGACCACTTGTCTATATCAAAACATTGTCTCCACAAGCTTAAAAGAATTGGAGTGAGTGTTATGTAAACTATTGGGTTGACAGCTCGATAGTCCATTCGTTTAAAATATGAGGTGTTCATGCAACCTATCACCTTACATATTACGTCTCGTTTGGTACACTTCTATACTATACAGAAAGCATTTTTTTTTACATATAGCTATAATAGATTTTTGCAGGCGGACAACGCAACCACTTACCCCGTATATGTACAAAATAACATTTTGCCATGCAAGCAACACGAAAAATGATTTTCGCAAGTGGTGAGTTATGTCGTCCGCCTACAAAAAGGATCGAAAAAAAAAGAAAATCTAAAAGCTGAAACCCTAGCTCAAATCCACCCTAGCCACAGTCGTTGTCGAGACCCCACCGCACCCAACGTTACTGGCGGCGGACATGCCACTCCCAAGATCAGGGTCTTTGGATCCGCCACCAGGCAGCTTGCCACCATCATTTTCATCGTCGGATTCATGAGAAGGGGGAGGCCTGCGACGGTGGATCCGCGCCTCCCGCTGCCATCGCTGCTGGATCTGTGAGGGAGGGAGAGTCTGGCGACGGCACAACCGCACCTCCCCATGCCGCCGCCGCCGCCGGACCCGTGAGGGAGGGGGAGTCTAGCGACGGCAGCCACCTGCCCTTGTAGCCCTTGCCAGATTCATGAGGGGGAAAGAATTCGGTGACGGCGGATCCACGCCTCCTCGTACCCCCACTGCCAGATGCATGAGGGAGGGGAAGGTCGGCGACCATCGATCCGCCCCTCCCCCTGCCGCCGTCGCCGGATCCGTGAGGGAGGGGCAGGCCAGCGACAGTGGATCCGCGCCTCCCCTTGCAGCTATTGCCGGATTTGTGAGGGAGGGGGAGGCCGACGATGGTGGGTTCACGCCCCTCCTTGCTGCCTTCGCCATATTAGCTCGAGGCCGATGGCCACTGTCACACCCTGCAGTTCTCCTCTCAAGCCTAAAATTTAATTTATAAATGACCCTAAGAAAATGCCGGTGCAAATCAAGAGAAAACCCTAAGAAAGTAATACAAATAATAATCAAATCTGGCATGCGGAATTTTTCTTGAGTTCTACATGTCGAAAGTCACTAACAGGATTTTTAGTGGAATTTTCAGAGCCCTAGAAATAATTTTAACCAATTAAAATTGAGCAAGCAATATTTTAATTCCAGGGAAAATCCTTTTCTTCCTTTTTCTTTTTTTTTCCCCCTTTTCTTTTCGAGTGGGCCGCCGGCCCATTCTCCTTCCTCCTCTCCTCCCGCTGGGCCGGCTGAAGGCCAAGGCCCAGCTAGGCCGCGCGGGCCGGCCGCCCGCCTCCTCTCACCTGGGTCGCCGACAGGTGGGTCCCACCTGTCGGGCCCGTCTCCTACCTCGCGCCCGCGCCGCCGCGCCCGCAACAGTCACCGCGCGCACGCCTCCGCCTCCTCCGGGCCACGTCGGCCACACCCGCGCATGCGCCGCACCTCCCGCGCCCACTCCCCTCTCTCTCCCGCCCGCGCCCGCGCCCGAGATGGCCGGGATTCGATTTTCGAATCCCGCCTCTCTCTCCTCCCCCACTCCCCCACGTTGGCCGGCGATTCCCGCCTCCCTCGGCCACGTCCGGCCCCCTCTCTCCCTATTTAAGCTGCGCCGTCGTCCCCTCTCTCTTTTTCCCCATTTCGCCGAACTCCCTCGTGCTCCCCATCGCTCCCGCGCCGTGCACCCACCCGCCGCCACCTTTCCCGCCGCTCCGGCCACCGCTAGCCGCCGCTAGGCTCGCCGCCGCACCGCGCCGTCGCCGCCGTCGGGTTCGCAAGGACGAACTCCACCCCGTCTGCCCTTCCTCCGCCGGGATTCGTCGCCGGAATTCGCATCCCCTCGCGCTCCGGTGAGTTCTACCTCTACCGCCGCCTTTGGCCATGGATGCCGGCCGCCGTGGTTCATCTCCCTCTCTCTAATCTCTCTCTCCTCCTTCCTTAGGGCACCCCGAAGCCCGTCCGCCGGTTGCCGTCGTCCTCCCGTGGCTTGCCGTCGCCGTTCGCCGTCGTCTTCCTCCGCGCCGGCCACCCTCGGTGAGGCTTCCTCTCCCCTCTATTCCCCTCCCTCTCCTTCCTAGCCGCCGCTTAGCGCCGCCGCCTTCGCGTCGCCTTTGCGCCGTCGCCTCCGCCGCCGGTTGCCGTCGCCGGCAACGCGTTCGCGCGCGCGCCGTCGCCATCGCCATGGCCGGTCGGCCGGCCTTGAGCCGAGCCGAGCCGGGTCACCGCCGCCCGTCCGATCAACCCCGGGGGCGATCTGGGCCGTCGGTCCCGTGGACCGGCGGTGGACCACCCGCTTGGCCCCGGTCCACGGTGGACTACCCCCCCTTTGAGCCGCTGCCAAGTGGGGCCCGCTTGCCGGCGCCCCTTTTCCCTCTCTCCCGAGCCGCTGACCGGTGGGCCCCTCATGTCGGCGCCGCGCCCCCTTTGGTGACGTCAGCCCTGGGAATTATTGCGCAATAAATGATTTAAGTACTTTTTGTTATAGTAATAAACACAGTGAATCTTCTAAAATTCATAACTAATTTATCCGTGCTCCGTTTAAGCCCATTCAAGTCTCAGTAAATCAAGAAAAACGTGTAAAATCCATTAAAAATGGTTTTGTTCTCTGTTTCAGTAGTCTTATAGCCTGTTTGCAATGTTTGCCTTGTATGTCGCTAGATTCCGGTTCTTCCGACGCTCCGGTGTACTTCGAAATAGTCGCCGAGTTTCCTCCAGCAGCAGAGCAAGGCAAGTCATGCTTGCCACTTGAACATGTTGATCCTATATTGCAAATGCTCTATTGTTTTTCTTCAAATACTGCATCGTTTTATAATGTTATTATGGGATGTTTACCTATTGTCATAGCCATGCTATTGTTGTACCATGTCCCTTTGTCAGCTTGGGGTTATAACATGACTAGAGATTGGACTAGGGATTGCTTAGCCATGCTTAGTTCAACTAGTGCACAATGGGGAAAATCCTATTAATGTTTAGACTGTTGGTTCTAATGGTATTGTTGGATTAGTGCCACCGCTTGGGTGTTAGTTAATTAAAATAAATCACATGGTGGGCTGTGGGTGCATGGTTTTGCTAGTCGCACCCATGGCAGTTAAGGACCGGTTCGCGGGATGCCCTGGAAGAACTTATCGTACTTACCACAAGCCAGCGTGGGCAACGGCTGGGCTTGTAGTGTAGCTTTCCTCTAGCTGACGCATCCAGGCAAGGGTGGGCGTGATGGAGCGGGGCGGGCCCTGCGACGGCCTCTGTCGCTTCCGGATTCACCTAGGCACGAGAGGGGACTGCCCGTTGCCCGCTGGGGACGGGGGTGAAACCTGAGGTGTGGTGTGCTTGGCTAGAGGGGGTTATGCGAAGGGTCCTGTCACGGTCTCTTTCCGGTATGTCGTGGTGGCATGTCGGCGCACGGAAACATGTCGTGGGGCTGTGTCTTGTGGGTACAGTTGTACACCTCTGATCAGAGTAAAACTATTCGAATAGCCAAGCCCGCGGTTATGGGCGGTCAACCAGATTCACCGTGATTAGTCTCATCCTAGTGTAATCTTTTGAATTTGGATAGTTTAGGTGGATGGTTGGGCCTGTTGCAACGTGGGATAGCGTTGGATAGTGGATAGTTAATATTAATTAATTATTACAACTGTTTAAATCTTTCAACTTCTGTTTATAAATGCTCGCTTTATGCAAATGAACCACTCTAGCTCTCCTTTGATAATTCCCTGCATCATACCCCTATTCCGGTATGACTTGCTGAGTACAGTGGGTAGTACTCAGTCTTGCTCTATTTTTTTTCCCAACCCCAGAGTACGAGTATGTGTCAGATGGAGGTTTCTCCGAGGAGTAGGCTTCGTCCGTACCGTCGAGGATGCCTGTGGAGTGGTGTTCCCGCTGCAGTTCTAGTCAAGGCTTAGCTCCTGTTGTCTTTCGCTTTTCCGCTGCATTTATGTAAGACTTTTATGATGTTTGTAAGACGTGGGTCTGAATGTCAACATTGTCGTTTGTGTACCCCGGTCGGTCCTGGACGGGGATTTTAATGCACATTCTGCTTGGAATTCTATTCGGGAATTTCTGGGCGTGACAGCCACCCCCGTCGTCGTCCGCCTACCACGCCTCTCCTCATCATTGTCGTCGTCCGCCGGCCAATCGTCGTCGTTGCTCACTGGATGGCCTCTCCCGTTGGGTGTGAAAGTAAGGGGGAGGTGTGAGAGTGGGAGGAAAGGTGAGGAGAATAAACTGAGAGAAAATGTTAATATGGAGACAGAGAGAGAAGGGAAAATTAAGATGGGTGAAAAAAATTGCATACGGGACCTAGGCCCGTCTGCGAAAATTCATTTTCACACACGGATATTTATTGAACAACTCTCAATTCCTTTTACATGCGGGCTTCTTAGGAATTATTTTTAGTCTGCCTGAACAAAGGAGATGTTTTTTTAGTGGTATAAAGGAATATCACGAGAATTTTGAGGAAAGTTAACTGACCAATGTGAAATTCTCATGTGTTCTAAAGGATCCCACCAACATATGGTCAAAGTGAGACAATCCTTTTGTATGAATACAACGGACTTTGGATGATACGTTTTGCCTCTTGGGCTCCTTTACAGCAAGGGCTAACTATAACAATTAACACATCATGCACAACCACTTTTACAGTTTACCCGTATAATAATTACCAATAAATATATAAATATATATGTAGAACCACTTTTACAGATCCCGTATTATAGTTAGCAATAAATATATACTAACACTATTAGCATCTTGTTAAAACCCATGTTGTGGCGGATTATATATATGTAGCACACGCTTCTCTTTTAACTCTCATCTTCTGTTTCCTACAACTTAACACCAGTCTATTATGGCAACGAATAATATACTTACATTATCTTATTATATTTCGTTTGTATTTAATGCATATTCTTTTCTTATTCCTATGGAGATGATTTGGTTCCTATAAAATAAAATTCATGTGTTCAAAAAGCCTTTAGAAGAGCGGTGAAAGATAACCATTAGCTTCATTCCATTTGAAGTTCATCTTGCATAGGGCTTGTGATGTGGGCCCCAATGCAGCCGAGTAGCATCATTCCCAGTTGCGCTGCATGGACAACTTGCAGAAGGAAAAAGTTTACTTGAGATCCCTCATCTTGTCCTCTAGTTTCAAATTCGTCCCTGACCCAAAATGCATAGTCTTGTAAAACCGGATCACAGTGGGTCCCAAGACAGTATTAAGAACAGTTTTGGCTGATGTGGCGGCTGAGTCAGCGTGAGACCCACGTACCAGTGGCCCAATCTTCTTCCACATCTATCTCCCTTCTCTTCCCATCTCTCTCCTGGCCTCCATGTGGCCGGTGATGGGCAATAGTCGAACATGAAAGGCGCAACGACAACTTCTCGCGCCCGAGTCCTAAGAGCATGTCGGTCTGGCCGAATGGTCCGGAGTTCTGGTCATCGCACTCGAAGATGAAGCCAGGAACTTGCTTGATGCCGATGTCATTGTCGGTGTTAAACACCACAGCGTATTGCTTCGTTGGTTTCTCGTTCCTGACGGACACCTTGGAGGCGCGAGCGCCCCTCCGCTAGGGCTGTCGACGAGCCGAGCTCGAGCGAGCTCGTCTGTCTAGGCTCGAGCTCGATACAAACTCGAGCTGAGCCTATAAAATGTTCGAGCTTTCTGACAGGCTCGGCTCGAGCTCGACCAAGCTCGAGCTTAACTACCGAGCTTGATTTTTAAGTAAAACAATATATATTTCAAAGATAATCTTTAAAAAATAATTAATTTCTAGTTCATCATATTAGTAGAAGAGGAAAAAAAAAATAAATATATAATGTCAATATAAGGCATACAAATAACTTATTAGATCTTCTAATTTATAAATAACAACAAAAATTATGTATTACTATGCTCGTTGGAAGCTCGAGCTCGGCTCGACAAAGCTCGCGAGCTTAGGGAAAGGATCAGGCTCGGCTCATCTGGAGCTCGAGCCTAGGACGAGCCAAGCTCGAGCAGCTTGCGAGCCTCGAGCTTTTTTGACAGCCCTACCCTCCGCCGACTATTAGGCTTCCTCCCTGCCACCGATGAACCTAGGCGGCATCGACCACTAGGTGATGACCAACGTGGAGGGGTCAAAGGCAGATGAAGATGGTGATGAGGTTGGCGAGGAAGGCCATGCAGGGTCCTTATGTAGCATTGTTGCCGATGTCAAGGAGCCAGAAGCTGATGAGGTAGACAATGATGGCATCGAGGCGGGTAGAGCACAGGGTGATGGAGTCGCCGAAGATTCGAACGAGGTCAGTGGAGAATCTGACGATGAGAACAATGGCGGCGATAATGAAGGGGTGCTGACGACCGAGGCTGGCGAATGTGTACGGGATGCCAAGGTCCTAGACATAGGGGGTCGGTAGGGAGAGTTGCAGCGCCACTCAAACTGCACGCCGCATGCCACCGACACCGCACGTAGAAGCTTCCATATGGAGGGCACTAGAGATGGGAAGAGAGGAGGGGGGGAGGTATAATAAGAAGATTGGGCCACTGACATGTAGGTCCCACGCTGACTTAACCGCACGTTAGCCAAAACTGTTCTCAGTACTACCTTGGGATCTAATGTGACTCGGTTTTACAAGATTAGGTATGCAAGCATTCCGGTCCAGGGACGGTTTTGAAACTCGATGACAGGATGAGTGACCTCAAGTGAACCTTTTCCACTTGCAGAACACTAGACATCACAGCCCAAGTCTTACCCACCACAAGCCCAACACACCACACTTTAGGCTCCTTAGGCCCATAACCATCTACCTATGAGCCCAAAAACTACGGCCCAATTAGGCCCACGGCTTGGCCCAACTTCTCAGCGAAAACCCTAACCCCGTCGTCTCCACGGCCACCTTATATAAAAATCCGCCGCCGCCGCCATCCTCCCTCCTCCCCTCCGCTCTCCCACCCTTCACGCCGCCGCATCTCCACGCCCCGGCGATCCGAGCACAAGCAAGCATGGCCGAGCGCGGCGGCGGCGGCGAGAGGGGCGGCGAGCGCGGCGGGTTCGGGCGCGGGTTCGGCCGCGGCGGGCGCGGCGACCGCGGCAGGGGCGGGCGCGGCGGGCGGCGCGGCCCCCGCCAGGAGGAGGAGAAGTGGGTGCCCGTGACCAAGCTGGGGCGCCTCGTGAAGGAGAACAAGATCCACAAGATCGAGGAGATCTACCTCCACTCCCTCCCCGTCAAGGAGCACCAGATCGTGGAGCAGCTCGTGCCGGGCCTCAAGGACGAGGTGATGAAGATCACGCCGGTGCAGAAGCAGACGCGCGCCGGGCAGCGCACGCGGTTCAAGGCGTTCGTCGTCGTCGGCGACGGCGACGGCCACGTCGGGCTCGGCGTCAAGTGCGCCAAGGAGGTCGCAACGGCGATCCGCGGCGCCATCATCCTCGCCAAGCTCTCCGTCGTGCCCGTGAGGAGGGGGTACTGGGGGAACAAGATCGGGAAGCCGCACACCGTGCCGTGCAAGGTCACCGGCAAGTGCGGCTCCGTCACCGTGCGCATGGTGCCGGCGCCCAGGGGGTCCGGGATCGTGGCGGCGCACGTGCCCAAGAAGGTGCTCCAGTTCGCCGGCATCGAGGACGTCTTCACCTCGTCGCGCGGCTCCACCAAGACCCTCGGCAACTTCGTCAAGGTATCTTGAATTCCTCCCTAGAAATGCTCGCTTATCTTAGAATTCTTTCTCTGTAAATGAAAAATGTTTGCTGATAGTGCTAGATTTGAATGTAACAGAAATGGCTTGACTGATTGTGATGGAGGACATCTGTGTAGAATGACTTGACTGATTGTGATTGAGGACATGTGTAGCTAGATAGTCTCATTTCCACCATTTTGTTATGCCTGTATTATCGTAGTAGTATTTTGACATGTCCGACCTTATCACACAATTCAGTTGTGCTTAGTATTGTTGTTTGACATCCGTGCTGTTGTGCTTAGTGTTGCTATGCATTTCGATTGTAATAATATTGACTACATTGTCCTGTTTAAGTACTAGTATACATCCTTTGTTAAGTTCTGTTGACTAGGATTTTAGGAATCTAGGGTTTTGTCATAGCATCGCTTCCCTTTCGGATGTTCTGTATTGTTCTGTATCAGTAGAGAAATATGGTTTATCATTGCATAGTGTGCAAACAGTAAACTGCTTTGTTTACTGAGGATCATTTGGATGATTGTTAGTAGTCATGAATTGTTCTGCGGCTTTAAATGTTGTCGCTGTTTCTATTCATGTGTACATGCTGTAGCTTGCTGAAAATAGCTATCATACTTGCAGCAATCAAACATGATATGTTTCCATTTACATTTCAAGCATTTCAATTGGTGAACCCATGAGACTCTTAGATAGCATTCTAATTTCATGTACACCATTACATTTCAAATGTTTCGGTTTACATGTCAAGAATAGTGCCTCAATTGATATAACCTGAACTTTTTGTTCTTGACAGGCCACCTTCGATTGTCTCATGAAGACCTATGGGTTCCTGACTCCTGACTTCTGGAGAGAGACCAGGTTTATCAAGACGCCGTTCCAGGAGTACACGGACCTCTTGGCTAGGCCAAAGGGGCTCGTGATCGAGGCACCTGCTGAGAAGATAGAAGCTTAGAAATTTTGCAGCAAAGAGCTGAGAAAGAATTTTGCATTATGGCAGCAAGAACTGCTGTCTTATCCTCAACCTCAACTTATGTCTTAAAAAATCCAAATTTTGAATTAGCGAACCTTAATTTATGTGCTCTGGAATGTTTAGGTTTCTCTTCACCGTGTTTACAATTCTCATATCCATATGAACGCGTACAGCATTGGTGCATTTTGCGAGTTTTACTCTCTGTTATGCTGAATTGTGTTACCAATCCTCATTGAAGGCCGTTAGAACAAATTATTATTCTGGTTGTATATCATTACAATCTGAAAATGTTGAGCAGCCTATACGGGAATATTTATAAAGTATTAATCTGCATCGTTGTAACTTGTATTATAATATGTGGTAAATGTGCTGACTAACAAGAACACAATGTTATTTTTTGCTTTCCCAAAACTTGGTGTTGGTTTATATATCAAACAGTATGACAATAAGGTCCCTCGCTGCAGTAAGATGAAATTTCGCCCCCCCCCTCCCGGGCAAATGATTATCTCAGCCGTTTTTTTTGGGGTTTTCTCAATTTTTTATGATTTTGATAAAAAAATTAATCAAATTTAGTTAATTTTTTTTAAAAATCCAAAAATGTATTGAAATGGCCGAGATCGAAATTGAAAACCTGCTGGCTACTGCCAATGGGATGAACACATCATCTTTGCTATACAATTATCTCCCTCTTTCAGGGAACCATTAACTTTCTCTGCCATGGTTTTGTTACTGATACTGCATTAATAATATAGCACAATATCATTCCATCTTTTATATTGTACTAACACATTGAAACTGCACAGGCTATATTCACCAGGGATAACATGCTGTATACGCTTGCTTTCGCTGCTTTGTGCGCCATCTTCAGTATCCTAAAGGAGATTCTTCAGTATCCTAAAGGAGATTGTTGAGCAATGGAATGCTATGGTATTCATTTTCAGCGTTCTTTCAGGAGTTTAGCTCATGGGCTCAGGAATTATGGATAACACATCAACAATCACAAGGAACAACAGTTTCTCCTCTGTTCCTGCTAGGTTATCTGCGAGGATAGGGTACGGTCTCTTTGAGATACTCTCTCCGTTTTATATAATATAAGTCGTTTGACTTTTTTTCCTAGCCAAACCTTATTAAGTTTGACTAAGTTTCTAGAAAAATTAGTAATATCTATAATATTAAAAAAAAGATAATGGAATAACATTTTGGCCTTTGCTCAATGAGCTACAGCCAATTATTACAAAGTCCACACATAAATAAATTCAGCACACACTAATATGATATAAATAAAACAAAAACTAAAGACACCAACACAAGATAAAAGAGCCCTGAATTATTGAATTATATTCGAGAATCTCCATCCAAAGTTGGCAAAACGGTGCATAATCATCCACTCAAGTTTACGGCATGCATTATTTAGAGAGAAAGGGAAGAGGAGATGGGGGAAGAAGAAGTGGCTACTGACGTGTGGCTCTAATTTTTATTTTTAGTTTTATTTGCTGACTAGACTTCCACATCATTGACACGTAGATGAAAACCAGCTGAAAAACCACTTAAGGGTGTAAAGTGAACGGTATTGAAAGTTGGAGGGGGTGAAATATCTGGTTTTAGAGTTTTGGGTGTATTTTAGACAAGACAAAGAGTTGGAGGGTGTAAAATGGACTTATCCCTTATTTATTAGCTTGATATCATCATCAAGCCTTTGTAGTTGAGCCCAACCCCGAAGCAAATATTTTACCCTGAAAAGTACTTACAAATAAAATTTTGATTGTGTTTTATCAAAAACCATATCATTTCTACTAAGCCAAAGAGCCTAACATACCGTGGAAGCTCTTCCAAGAATAAGTTTCTTAACTTTTTTATTAACATGCACCAGCCAATTCCCAAACATATGAGAAACACTATGTGGTGGGTATAGTCCAAATGAGAATTGAATTGATCTCCAAAGAAATCTAGAAAAAATGACAATCCAGGAAAAGATGGTAAATTGTTTCATTTTTCATAAAAAACAACATCTCAAACTACCATTGCAATTCTTCTTAGGGCATCTCTAGTCCTAAGTTCGGCGAGAACCATCCATGTAAGCGAAGTTTATTTTGGTTCGGGTGCTACAACGCAGCATCGATTTACCAGGTCCCCCTAGAATCAGCCATAACCTTTCCTCCCTCACACAAACAACCTTTCCTCCCTCACACAAACAAATGAAGAAATATTTTTCTAAACGGCTAAATCGACTGCTTGGCTGAGGTTGATTTCCTCTCTGACAAATAACAGCTGCATCTCACAGTGTGTTAGGTTCGATGTTTTTCCCTCACGCGTTGATTCAACCCAACGCTACAGATGCTCTTAGCCAAATTATCTTTTGTTAGCACAATTCCTTTAAAGAGATACCACATAAAAATATTAACCTAAGGGGCATCTTAAGCTTCCAAATGATCTTATTCCACTCTCTATATCCATTATTAATTAAGGCTAAATACATTGATCTAACAGAAAAATGACCATTTTGATGAAACTTCCATCTAAATATATCATCATCCTCTGTTAAATTAATATGCACAATTGAAGCACACAAATTGTGACAGTTGACCAAATTATGACCAACTAAAGCTCTCTAGAAGGAAACATTAAGCGGAACAAAACCCATAACACTTGCAATTGAAGAACTTTTCCTTCTAACTATAGAAGACAACGACGACTATTTGTCATTTAAAGAAAAATTTCCTAACCACTTATCCTCTTAGAATCTGATTTGCTCACCATTATTAATTATCCAAGAACCCATACTTATTAAGGAACTCTTAACCTTCATCAGGCCAGACAATAATGGGAATCCCCTTGTTTTTCTTTCGACCTGGGTTATTGATTTACTCCTAAGATATTTCCACTTCAATAAGTCTTACCACACACATTGTTCATTTATTTATTTAAACAACCATTTGCTCAATAAACACCGGTTTTGGATTTCTAAATTATGAACACCAACTCCACCCTAATATTTTGGCTGACATATAATGTCCTATCTTGTTAGTCTAAATTTCCTTTTGTGTTTATCACCTTGCCAAAAGAAGCGGGATCTATAAAATCATTTTTTTGAAGAACCCCTTTAGGAATCTCAAAAAAAGATATCATAAACAGAACTAAACTTGATAACACATAATTAATCAAAACCAAACTCCCTCCAACAGACATATGTTTACCTTTCCAACTAATGAGTTTTTTTTCTTAATTCTTTGCTCAATTGTTAACCAATCATTATTACTAAGCTTTCTATAATACATAGGGATACCAAGATATCTAACAGGAAACTATTATATTTTAGATCAAAAAATATTTGAATATTGCTCATAACATTGTTTTGCTTGACCAAAGCAAAATAATTCACTCTTGTGAAAATTTATCTTTAGGCCAGATAATTTTTTCAAAAGCAGTTAATAACAACTTCATATGCTTCACTTTCTCTAAATCATGGTCAAGAAAAATAGTAGTATCATCAGCATATTGTAAAATAGATAAACCATCGTCCACCAAATGTGGGACAACTCCTGAAATCTAACCATCAGCTTTTGCTCTCTTAATTAATATAGCTAGCATATCAACAACTATATTAAAAAGAATTGGAGATAACAGGTCCCCTTGCCTTAAAACCTTATAAGTTTGAAAATTTGCCCCCACTTGAATGAAAGAAGCAATCCAATTACACCATTTTTGCAAAAAAAAACCCTTTATTCTCAAAGTTTTTTTTAACAAAAGACCACTTCACTTTATCATAGGGTTCCTCAAAATCAATCTTAAAAATTACACCATTCATTTTTATTTTCGATTTAATTCATGAATTGTTTCATGGAGGATAACAACCCCTTCCATAATGTTTCTCCCAGGTATAAATGTTGTTTGTGTAGGACTAATAACTTTCTGAGCTACTCCAGAAATTCTATTTGTAGCAACTTTAGTAAAAATTTTAAAACTGACCTTAAGTAAGCAAATATGCCTATATTTTTGAATCTTAATAGCCTCCTTGCACTTAGGCAATAAAATAATAGTACCAAAGTTGAGCGAATAAAGATTTAGACTTCTGCTATGAAAATCCTTAAATAAATCTACCAAATCAGATTTGATAACATTCCAAAACACTTGATAAAACTCATAAGAAAATCCATCTAGACTCGGAGCTTTATTATGTTCCATTTGAAAAATTGCATCTTTAATTTCATTTTCCATAAATTCATCTACTAAAGCATTATTTTCTAATTGAGACACTTGGGGGATATCACTTATCTGGCTTTCATCCAAAGTTAAAGAGAAGCTTCTAGAGAAATAAAAAGGACTTTATAATAAGTGGTAATATGCACCTTTAAATTCGCATCACCACTTATAACCCGGTCACCATCCTGTTATTGAATTTTTTTTGTTTTCCTATGCTTCCCATTTGCAACCAAATGAAAATATTTGGTATTTGAGTCACCTTCCAAAATATCTTTAGTCTTAGCTCGCTGATACCATTTAATTTCCTCTCTTCTAAGCAAACAAGCTAATCTATTCTAAAAAAAGTCTAGTATGAATCTCATCCTAACTCAACCGAGTTAATTCAGCTTTTTTTTTAAATCTAACAAATCTAATATTTCCGGCAAGACCTTCTTTTCTTTTTTGTAAGTGCCACTATTTTGTTTGGCCAATCCTCTTAATAATTGTCGTAATCTACGAATTTTTGCCTGCTAACACTCTATAGGAGTATTTCCATCAATAATATTTGACCAGATTTCCTTAACCATATCTACAAAACCATCTCTTAATAGCCAACGCAACTCAAATTTAAAGTTTTGATGACTGTTACAAACAGAAGATGATTTTGTATTTAGGAGTAAAGGAGCATGATCCGAGATGTCTCTATGAGATGTCTCTATTAAGAGCAAATATCGAGGACAGTGAAAATTTTTGTTCCCACTCCGTTGACATTAGCACTCTATCTACTTTTTCATAAGTTAACACTGGTAAATTATTTGTCCAGATATAATTTTGACTAAAACCATCAATAATAGTATTAAAAAGAAAAGGCCATATATTATCAAAATTATCATTATTTTTTTCCGTAGGTCTATGTAATAGATTAAAGTCACCACCAATAATAATTGGTAAGGTTTCATGACTAGACATATGAACTAATTCGTTTCATTAAATCTAACATTTTATATTTTGACAATATATTTGTTTTGTGTTAAAAATACTAATATGTTGTCAAGTTTAAAGAAGTTTAACTTGGAAAAAAGTCAAACGACTTATAATATTAAATAGATGGAGTATCATCAATCTCCTGGTTTGCTGGAAAGTATGGATATGTCACGGGAATAGGGGCCGTG